GTCATTCATCATGGGCAGCCTGTCGCAATACGATGGACTTGCCATGGAAACAAAGCCCCACAGGCAGGTATGTCAGCCAATCGCGCCTGCTCCGGCTGGAGGAACGTCGCAAACCACACAAGTGCCTTGATCACTGCTCGCAATCTCACAACATGCCAGGACATGCATAGGATCATAAATGCCCTTTACAAACCGCAGTTTGGCACACAATGACAGCCAATGACAATGACGCCCTGACTGGGTTTCTGGCAAGTCCGTGCATTCGGCAACCTGGCAAGCAACAGGCTGCAAGACCATTCACAGGCAATGACAAATGGCAATTTGACAAGGCGGCATCCGTCATTGTCATATGTCAATGTCTAGAAGGCACCGGCGGCCATCATTTTTCTGCACACTCGCACGACGGAAGAAGGCGTTCTTTCATGTTCAAGATCGAGCCTCTTCTTGAATTGCTGCTCTCAGCCAGCTGTTGATGTTGCGCGGCGCATGGGACCGGCCTTCGAACTCGACAAGCTTCATCCTCGGGGACGGTGCATTGTTGAAATCGAGTTCAAGGAAATGACAATTTCCCTGCGCTCATGACATTGCTGCGTGAAAGCTGAAAAGCTGAAGCCAAGCGGCAAAAGCCGAAGGGCTCGCGCTCTCGGGATGCCGGCCAGCTGGCTCCTCAATGTGGGCTGGATCCAGCTGTCATCCAGGATGCTTTGCCTGGCCGGTTCAACACAACAACTGTTGAGTCGCAAGACTTAGACTGCGGCCATTGTCACATTGTCATGTCAATGTCGACAACTAAGTTTAACAACCACGAATAGCTGCCAATTGCTGCAGGGTGGCACAACCTCATCCTCCAGCAGGTTATGCTGCTGGGTTGGCGGATGTGGCCCCTGCTGGTCATCTTTGACAATGACGCTCACCTCCTCCCACTGCTCATCCTTGACACTGACATTGACGGCCGGCTCCTGCTCATCCTTGACACTGACATCCGCCGGGTCTTGATCATCCGTGACACTGACACTGACACCCGGCGTCTCCGCCTCCTCCACCGGCTTTGGCTCCTTGGCCGGCCTTGAACCTGCCGCCATGTTCTTATCATGGAGGGACTGGTTCCGCATGCGGAGCTGGATCCTGGCAGGAAGTTTGCAAAGTACACTCAAACATCACAGCTGACAGTGACAAGTGCCAGACTCACTCCCGTGACACTACTGCCTCAATACTTTGACAGGACATCCTCAACGCTCGACGATGGGTGCTGTTTGGCAGATGATACCAAATGACAATAATCAAGCCCATCCAATACTCTACATTGACAGGAGCAGGAGCCTGACACCGAAGAAACTGACCAAGTTACTCAACAGTTACTCGAAGGTGGTGATGATGTTTGACTATTGAAATTCGACAAGGACAATCAACATGATATTCGTTTCGCAAAAATACAAACATTTGTCGCGGGCGAGGCGCTGGCCGTTCAACTCCTCCCACACCCTCACCACCTGGAGCTGGGCGTCTTGCCAGGGCCAGGTTACTTGGCGGCCGTTGCCAAAGAAGGATCCCGTGCAGGCAGCAGCCCAATCTTGCCAACGAATCCTAAGATGGCGGATGGCTTGACACTGACACTCAATTCAACAGATCGTTAAATTATTACACTTGGCCGGTTGTGGGCAAGAAGCGCGGATTCGAAGGTCTTGTTCTTATCCCGCGCAAACTGCATTGCCACACGGAAGTCGTACTCCAGGTCCTCCGACAGGCTGGGCAGGAGGCAGACGCTGCCGACGCCACATGCCTCAGCGGACACTGTTGAGCCGACAAATGACAGACATGAAAATAAGCAATCAACAACTTAATCAAATAATATTTGTTTCGAGCAACGACAATGAGCAATGACAGTGAGACATTGACAAGGTACAGTGAGCAATGCGCTCAGCAACATGCAGAAGGCCGGTGTCCTGTGCCAGCCAGCATGGCAGTTGATCAGCACCACCTCCGCTGGCGCCTCCAAGATCCTCTTCAGCGCCCTCTTCGCCCCGGGGTGGCTGAACACCTCGTAGTGATGAAACTGGCTGACACTGACTAACTGGCACTGACACTGACTAACTGACACTGACACTGACTAAACTGACAGTGACACTGACTAACTGACACTGAGACTGACTGACTACATGTAAACATTTATTCAAAACAAGTTTCACGGCAGACCGGAAAATAGTTTCCAATGCTAGCAAGCCGCAGACCTCTGAGTGGCCTCAAAGATGCCAGGGTTCTTGCAGCGCTGCCCCAGCTCACCTCTCTGCGACTCCGGGAGAAGTTCCAGCAGGTCGTGATAGACCACGCTTTGCCCCAGCATCGACAGGCCGCCGGGAACTTGCAGCACTCGTCCGTCGAAGGGCACCGACTCAGCCCAGGAAACAACTGTAACAATGACAAACTAAACGACACTGTAAATTTGACTGACAATGGCAAATTTTATGCAAATGACACATTATGAAAAATGAGAATTGGAAAAGCACTGACTAAATACACACAAAACACTGACAGACAAGTGTGTTGTCAAGGCGCAACTCGCTGCTTCTTCTTCTTCCCCCAGCCCATGATGATCACGAAGTCCGGCCATACGACCACATCCTGCGCGGGGCAGTGACAGGCGGCAAGACAGCTGACACTGACGGATGGCATTGCGCGCAAACAATTTAATTTGACATTGATATCAAAAGTTTTCATGACAACAAGCAGCCTGCCTGCATCCTGCCGACAATGACAATGACACTGACAAATGACACGCTTGGCTGGACACAGCTGCGGTGGCCACCATGATTCCCAGAACCAGCCCGCAACAAGCACGACACTGTCATCATTGACTGCGCAACTGCGGCAACAGCACACATACAAACTGGGCCAGGGTGACCTGAGCCATGGCCGTGGCCATGTTGGGCAAGTTCAGAAAGAAGACTGGCAAAGCCTGACACAAACAAAGTTCTGCAACATTGTGTCGAACACGACACTGACAAATGATAAATGACAGTGCAGTCGCTTCAAGTGGCAGGTGTCCTTGCCAATTCATGGGCGAGACCTGGGCCTGGACCGATCTCGACGATGGGCGCGAGCAGCCTGCCAGCGAATTTGGCATCACAAAACAACAAATCAGACACAATACCCAAACAAACACATCACTGCCACGCAGCCAACACAACATAACCAGTTCCAAGGGCAGCTTCAACAGCAAGACCACGCGCGGCGGCATCTCGGACACTACCGACAGCAGGCGCCAGCATCAACAACAGAAATAGCAGGAGCAAAAACCAGCATGAGCAGCATTGGCAATGGCAGAAGCAGCAAACAGCTGCTGCTGCGGCTGCTAATGATGTCGAAGCTGCAGCTTGTTTGCTGTTGCTGCTGAAGATGGTGCTGGTGATCGTGATGCATGATGAGATGATGAGTATGCTGATGATGGTGATGGTGATGATGATGGTGATGGCGATGATGATGATGATTATGATGATGATGGTGATGATGATGATGATGATGATGACGATCGTAATGATGATGATGATGATGATGATGATGATGAGGATGAGGACGATGATGATGATGTGGTGACGATGATGATGATGATGATCAATGATGACCTTGTGAAAATACCAATCATTGTGGCATCCTCTGAATCTGAATCATCAATGGGCCACACTTGAAATGGATGATGATGATGATAAGTATCATCAGGAAATGCATTTTGGACACAGTGGAAGAACAGGGCTGTGGCGCAATGGCAGCGTGCCTGCGGCGGCTGCGTGCTGCCGGGGAGGTCGCGGGTTCGAGTCCCGTCAGCCCTATGTCATATGTCGGGAAGAGGACGGAAGATTACAGGAAGAGGACGGAAGACTACTGGAAGAGGACGGAAGAGGACGGAAGACTAGAAGACTACTAGGGCAAGAGGACGGAAGATTACGGGAAGAGGACCGAAGACTACGGAAAAAGGAAGGGAGGAAGGAAGGAAGTGGGCTGGTGCTGGTGCTGGTGCTGGTGCTGGTGCTGGCGGCGGTGGCGGTGGTGGTGGTGGTGGTAGTGGTAGTCTAGCACAAGGACAATGGTGGGATGATGATTGCAGTGGTCATGACGATGCGACAGCAACAAAACGGCAGCGGCGCCTCCACCTCAGCATCCTGGTGGCCGACAGTGCGGCGCGACTCCTGGGCAGCGACGACCCCGTGACATTTGAAAGTTCGAGGGTGCGTGGCAACCTCACTCAGGCCCACACCGAGCAATCGTGGAATGGAAGTCCTGGCAGGGAGAGAGTCTGAGTTGGAGCACCTGTTTCTACCCGACGAAAACCCCCTCCTGCCACTCAGGCTAATGCTGGGCATAGCGCGGCTTCTGGAGCATCACAAACCATGGCAGCGAGCCATCAACAAGAACCTGGCTTTCAGTCCATCTTAAGCCAGGACCTGGACCTGCTGCACGAGTGGCAAATGACCATCAGGAGTACTGCAGGTCAAGGACAGTGACAACAATGACATTGGCAAAGCTGCGGACAATGACACGGAGAATGGGGCAGTGACAACGATGACATTGGCCAAGCTGCGGACAATGACAGAGAGTAAAGCATTTTTTAGTTTGCTCCACCCATACCAAAGCATATTTTGCATGTCCTTAAGGAGCACCCAGCCGAATGCCTAGCCGATTTGTTTCTGGGGCTTCGTTTCAACCTAGTCGGTGAGCGACGGAGTTCGACGAATATGGCAACTGCCCATGTTTTCCCCTGAATGCTACTTGGACTCAAGCACAGTCAGAATTCAGGGATTGGCACGCGCAAGATCCTTGACGTACCCAGACGCTCCACCTTATGTTTCGGGCCCTCGCGGGCCCTCGCGCGTAGAAAGATTGTGCTGGTTTCCCGGGGAAGAGTCGCCATTGGGAAGAGAATAGAGAAGACCTATTCAAAGGTGAAGTCAATCATTTCCTACCGACCAGTTTTAGGCCTACTCTATAACATGTGTCGCATGGCTGAGGAAGCTGAAGCTGCAGCATCCCACCGCCAAGATGATGGCGGAGCTTTCGAAAGCCCAGGACTGTTGAGACCCAGCCCTGTGAATGGCAGATGTCAAAAGCAGGGTTCAAGCAGGAAGTCAGCAGCCGTTTGCGGAATGAATGTCTACGGTTTTGTCATTTATTGGTTTGTAGTGGTCCAGCACAATGTAGAATCGCTTTCGTACCCGCGTAGAGTTTGGGCAGTACTTCATTCGTTTACCCCCGACACAGAATGTTGCTTTGTTGGCACATTTTTGAGGAATAAGTCCGAGTCCTGGTACTGCCCAACCTAGCTATCGGTTGTGCGTATCCGTTTCATGGCCATTTTCGCGGGTGTCAGCAAAAAGGGCGAGCGAGAGAAGCGACCAGTCGTCGCAACCAGTTGGAGTCAGGACATCGAGGCGGGTGACGGCACCACCTCCGTGGTGGTCATCGCGGGTGCACTGCTGGGTGCCGCCGAGCAACTGCCCGGAGCCCCGGAGCTTCGTTGGTGCGCGGCTTTGAGAACTAGAGTCACAGTGAGCCTTCCCCGCTGAGTGGCATCCTCCAAATGTGTGTGTGTGTGTACTTTGGTGCAGTTTGCTTGGATGTTAGGACGTTAACTTTTTGCCAACTAATGGGTTTCCGCAGAAAGCAACCGAATGTATCTAAGAGCGTAGCGGTAGTATGTAATATGTCAGGAACATATCATGAGTCTAAATGGCACTGGGGCCGCTTTGGCTCAAGGCTTGGTGATCTTTCTTGGTGATCTTTCGCAAAGAGGAATAGAGTGTGAGTGTTGAGGTGTTGCAAGTTGGGGTAGTTTGCTTGATATGTTCGCAATGGCTGACATCTGTGTGTTTTCAGCTCTACCCTTTTCGGCTCGCTTTTGGGGAAACCCTAAAACAAAGGGGTCCCATGTTTCTTCTACTGGGTCATTGGGCAACCGAGAACTTGTTTTGGTTGGTTTGCGTGATTTGGGGTGGCTATTTTAGTTTGGGGTGGTTATCGAAATTACCTAAGGAGGGATGTGCAAAGGTTGGTACGTACATGGGCAATTTGGTTCTTCACTTTTGGAGGGCAATGTCATTCAAGCCACTGTCTGGAGGGCGACTTGAGGGCCTTTCTTGAGGATGTGTGTCACTTGACTTCTTGAAGTCGCAATTGTAGCCAGGCAGATTTCAGCGACCTCACCGGGCGCACCCGAAAGGCAAAATTAATTGGAGGGCATTTTGCCAGCTGAGCCAAATCAAGACCTAAGCAATCAAAGGACATGGTCGGACATTCTCAAACAGAACTTGAAGCGGCCACACTTATGACTTATGGTTTGGGTGTGGCTGGACAAAAAGCAAGCAAAAACGACACACACGCACCTTTTAATTATGTCCTACCAGGTTTGGTTGGGACTCAGCTGAGTCAGCGTCCCAATCCTTCTCTGCGGTTTGGGTTGGGCATTCCGTTGCAATCAGCAAAAAGCTGGATTTGGCCGACCCCAAGTATGCTCGGGTAACTCCGCGCAAGAAGCTCAAGCCTATGTCTGCAATAGTTTCGAATATGAGAGGATATGGGCTGGGTATGGTTCAAAATATCCATCAAAATAACCAGACCCCTGTGAAAGATATCCCCCTTTCAATGGGAACCTCCCTTTCAAAAGCTCCGTTGCCAAGGCATCAACGTGACCCCCCAGACCCTGCCCAGAAAAGGAAAGCTGGTGGAGACAACCACCGCAACCATCAAGCACCCAGACTTCCGCAAGTTGCATCGAACTTTGCCAGGCTCAAAAAGGGCATCCACCCGCAGACCATCACAGAGGCCGGCCTGGACTTGGTGGACCGGACAGTTGCTAAGCTGTTGGCACGCGCAAGCATACCCCCAAAGGGGTCAATCCAGAAGCCGAAAGGAGCGCCCTGCATGACAACTGGATGAAAGCATGCACAAGACTGACATGGTGCAAGTCTTGTGGTTGCCGTCAGGCGCTCGCACAATACTGGAGCGATCTAGATGCAACATCTTCAACTGTGCCCAGTGTTTCCAGTTACCTCCATGTGCAGAACCAGCTGGGTTACCTGCCATATTTGGTAACTGACCGCTGGTTCCAGGAACCACAAAAGAAGGGCCCGAAACAATTGGGGCCCAGAACCGTGAAAAAGAGGCCCTGTTCCGTGAAATAGAGGCCCGGAACCGTGAAATAGAGGCCCGCAACCGTGAAAACCGTTAGACAGGAATCTGGTTCCCACTTTGTTGGGCACCAAGCCTGGTTCACAAAAAACAGTCGCCAGTGGCCAGTTACTAGCTATACAGGTTACTAGGAGTCGCTGGGGTGGTCAACACTGTATTTATCGGCAGCCAGAAGTATTTGCTGCCCACTGCCCCCTCGTTGAGGGCTTTGAGCCCATGGTGAAACTGGTCATCCACAGACGAAGCCTCAGTTTGGCAGGGCTATGCTCGATACTTCCGCAGAAGGCCCCATAAGTCCCCTTGTTGACGGGAAAACTAGTGAGGAAGTGGCTCCGACTTCTGATTAGATACAGACCTTCAAACAAGAGGTTCAGGGTTCAGGCATGCCCACCAGCGCTTCATTGGATTTCCTCTTCAGTGGCCACCCCTGAATCCCTTTGCTTGGTGGGTTCCGCACTATGGTCAGCCCCAAGAAGCGTTCGGTTTTGAACGAGGGTCACTGGGCAACTCGGAGTTGGCTACTTCTACAGGGCAGTTTACAGAGAAATCCTTGTGTTGTGTTAGGGTATTTGCCAAGTTTCCTGTGGAATCTTCCGTTTGGCTACTATGAACGAGGCATTTTGTCCCTCAGCCGGTCTTCATTTTGGAGTCGCGAGGCATTGCGAAATTTTCGCGCCAGGCCTTCCTGCAGGCAGCGGTGAAGGCGGAAGAGATCCTTGAGGCGGTGGCCCAACCTGTGGCCGAGGCCTTGGTCCGATTTCTGCAAGGCTTGAGGGTCTCAAAATCGCGGCTTCAGCCCTCAAAAAAAGGCGGCGCATTCTTTTTGTTGGCCTTTCAAGCTTGGCACCCATCTTTCAATGATTCAAGGGAAGCCAAAAGGAAACGATGTCATCTTCGGGGCCTGTGAGCTCCCGGCTTGGGGTGACTCGACTTGAGGACTTGGCAGATCGGGAGCACCTGCTCCAGGCAGCCGTCACCTCTCTGAACTCCAAGGCTCGAGCCGGAAAGCTCCGTTTCGGCGATCGAATGGTGGGGGAGTTTTTTTTTTCCCCAGGGTACCCCGTTTTTTGGGGCGGTTTGTTGAAAGGAAGCCACTCGGAAAAAAGAAGAAACACGTTTCTGTTGGGGTCCCCTATTTTAAGACGCACCTTGGTTCCTCTCAACCTATCTCGCCTGATGTTTGACTGACTTGTCAAGTCGCATCCTTTGGGATGCGGCGCGGCACATTTACAGACAAACCCAGTTTTAGACCCCTCCAGGGTCATTTGGTCGCTTTCACACATGCTGCCAAACTTTGGGGCACCGTTCTTCAGCAAAGTGCCTCATTTGCATGAAGAAAGAATATATTCATTCCAGACTCTTAGTTGGCTGCCCTTCACAGGTGGGTCCAAAGAATGGCAAGCCCATTCGTCGCGTAACTTATGTTGCTAGACAATTATGACAATTGATGTTAGTATGCTCCATTAGTCAGGAGTATTTGTGGTTTTCAGATGCCACCCACTCCCATTCGAATTGATTTTGTCCTCAGAGAAGCCGGAATGACATGAGCGGCGCCCGACACCCTCCAATGATGTTTTGGTAATTTTAGTAGGTGGCTCGAACTTCCTGGCTAAAACAAATCAGATTCCCATGTTGGAACCAAGAGTCAAAAGGTTTTGGGCTCTCTCTTGTGCAAGATCCCCCTTCGCCGCTCGTGTGGGCGACGGCGCAGGTTGTGTCCCAGGAGTCAGAGACCTTGGCGCCCATCGCAGTGGATGCCGTGTTGAAGGCCAATTCGTCCGCCGCGTCGGCCAGCGACGCGTGGCTAGGGTGCCCCACAAAACTGGGAAAAAGGGCGAACTCCTCCAATGAAATGCCTACCTGATTGCCGGAAAGGCGCTAAGTTGGCAATGTTTGAGTCATGCTGAGCATGTTCTGAGGAATTCGGGGTTTGGTCATGATTCAGCTGAAAGTTATTGTGTCACACCCTGACAGGCTATTGGAGAAAGCCATGCGGAGAGCTGTGGATTGGCTCTGACCTGTGCATGGGGTGTGGGTGTTTCCAAGAGTGACCCTCGTGATTCACCATGGGCAATTCCCCTTGGTTTCCCTTCAAACTCCATCCACAAGCAGGGTTCCTTATTTTAAGATGCCCCCACATACTCTTCAGGGTCGCCAAAACCAAACAACGGTCGGCGCCGTCAGGTGACAGATCCTAAGACCGCCACCAACGTGGACCTCAACGACATCCGCCTAGTCAAGAAGCTGCTTGGCCGATTTTGGCACCGGAGCTGAAGGGGCCAAGCTGAGGAAGAGCCCCTCAGATCAGCTTCCTATGCGGTCCAAATTGCCAAGAGATGAGGACATCCAAATTGCCACATCCTTTCCGGATGAGGTCTTAAAGTCCCGGTCAAAATCATTGCGAACCAAATCCTTGACATCCCTATCCCAACACACCCTCGACTGTCCGGACCGGAGGACCGACCCATGGAACGTCCGTATCGTCCATTGGGGGCAAGTGGCCTTCCGCAGCTTGGGCAGGGTTGCTCCAGGCCCACCTTGGGCAGTGGACAGTCCCAACCAACTAGATGCTTATGCCATGGGTTTCCTGAGACTTGACTTTGCCGGAGTCACTCGTATGAGTCAGGTTCATAGTTGTGCATTCCCCGACTGACACGGAACTTGGAGATGGCAAGCCCCGCTTCCTTGTAGTGTGCGCCGAATGGAATCTGTTGGACTATAATCCATATATAATTATGAACATTTGCTTCTACTCGGATGTCACAAGCAAGCCTCAGACAAGTCGGGAATATATGGACTATTGCTACTGCGTTGAGACTAGACTACATACACATTTTTGTCAATCTACCTTGTTTCTCAGTCGCTTGATTTGACAAGGGCCCATGTTGTTTCGCGTGAAAGTTTGCTGTTGCATCTTTCAACATTTGGACCAGAGTGATGAAAGACACACCATGCCTCCTCCTCCAAGGAGTTGGCAGTTTGCTACCATTCTGCTCGTTTCGAGCGCCTTCACGGCAGAAATCAACAGTTCAAGGGGCTTAAGATATTATGTACCGTGCACGGATTGAACTTCGGAGTGCTCAGGCTCAACAAAGCATATTCATGTGTGTTTTGAGAGTAGCCTTTTTGGGGGTTGTTTCGAGGGAAGCTTGCAGGAAATCCACCTTTTGGCCATTTTACTATTAATATTGTGACACATGAACTTTCATGATACATTGTTTCCCTGTTTTGACACATGGGACGAGGTGCTGGCATGAGCTCACCGCTTGGGTGTGAGCAAACTTGAAACCTAACAAACCTCAGAATGGGCGGTTTCCCTACGCCCCTTTTGAACCACTAAAAGGTTACACCGATCTGGAGCTGTATGTTTGTGGGCGAATTCACCAAGCTCAGTTTGACTAGGCTTGAGAAGCAAGACAGCGATTTGATTGCCAAACTTCGCCAACCTTGTTGCCCTTTTGCGCTTTGAAGTTTCCGCTGTTTTTGCAGATTAAAGCGATGTCTGAGGGTTTTACTTTTGACCAGCAAAAGCTAACCTTATGACCGGCAATCTTACCACCAGCAACACAGGTTTAACTTTCGCAGATAAGTCTGGGCAAGATTTGAGGTTGGGCGCGACCACGGACGACACGGAGCTGATTGACGGCTTGGTGTTGACCCAGCGCGTGCTGGGCGCTCAGATGAGAGATGAGCGTTTGGTTTTGGTTTGTTGATGGTTGTGAGTGTAAGGCCGCCCAAAGTAATGTAAATGGAGCTTTGCCGACTTTGAAAGTGATTACAAGGTAATAATGTGCGGACATGTGCGTAATCATTTGGCGCCTTGTATCACCCTCCTTCCACCAGTCATGGAAAGTGGACGGATGGGTCCCGAAAGGAATGTTGCCTTCCAAAACCCTCCTGTCGGCTTCCATGATTGGAGGGCGCCAGTGGTGTGGCGTAATCTTGAACCCGACAACACGAGGGGTTGTTTTTTGTTTGTTTCCGTTTCAAAGCCAAGAAAGGTTTCTGAACAAGACACACCCCAATTTATGATTGCGCGGTTTTGCCTTTTTGGCCCGTACGAACTACGACGCCCTAGAGGCATTCTAGCCTCTTTTAGGGGTCCTGCAGGATGCGGATGGATGGCCGCCAGTTTGTGTTAGTCATTAGAGAAAGGGGTTCTACTCCCTGGATAACAAGGATCGTAGTGAGGGCCTCAGCATTCTTGACGACAACCATGGTAAAGACCAAGGTCAAACATATTTCGAGCACTGCTTATTTGCCAGCAGTTGCCAGTTGCCAAGTTAAGTCGGGGTATTGGATTGCGTCGCATGGACATAGGCTCGGTCCCGTTTCTGGCAAGCCTTTTGACCTATCCGCTGTGTTGTTGTTTGTTTTGGTCACTGTCCCAATAGATTTTGGCTGTCACCTCGAGGTCTTCTGGTTGCAGGCTGTTTTTGAAGGAAACCAGCTGCAGGAGTTGCTACAGCCAATTGGCAAACACTCGCCCAACACCAACACGTTCAGATTTTGCTGTAGATGTTTTCTTAGACTTCTTAAAATAAATCACCCTTTTGGGGTGGGGGGGGGTGCTTATTTCGTGCAGAAACTCGTAGACCTTGCCATTGGTGCCGGGCTCAAGGATCACCAGGATCGGGCCGATGCACAGATTCATCCTGGGGTTTTCTTGCTGATGGGATTGAACCCAGGGGTTCCCTGAAAGAAAACCATAGGCGATGGTTTGTAGGGGGCATTCCTCATTCCCTGCTGAGCACTAGCAAATTTTGAGCACATCCCCCCCCTCCTTATACCTTACCCTTGTTTGGGCATTGTCTCATGGGATTTGGTTTGAAAGCCTGTGAATCATGTCGGGACCCCCTCAAGCACAAACAAATCCCTTGCTCCTCCGTTTCTTGCAGTAACCATTATTTGAGCATGATTTCATGTCCAATACAGCAAACACTTCAATGATGTTGAAGACCAATCCGGTTTAAAGAACCAGGACGGCACAGGTTTTGATCGCATGGCGTAGCACTTGTTTGGATCCGAAGGCCCCAGAAACCCGCTTCCTTATGGGGGGATGGGATATGATGGGATCCTTGGCCTTGGACGGTTTTTCTGCATTGGGCAAGAATCCACCAAGCTGTTCGTTCCTGCCAGAAATGATTGATTCTGGAGTCATATTGTAAGTCATTTGTCGTTTCCCGTCAGTGCTTGGGAAGCAGGGACAACCAGAATTTGTGTTTTGTTCCGCACCTGTTGTGCTCGCTTGTTTCATTCTTTGTGGGAAGATGATGCTACTGTTTTGGCTGGCTTTCCCATGTAGATGTTGTAAATATGTCAAGGTATGGCAATAATGAACTGATTATGAGTTGGTTCCATTTGTTTTCTTCTCAGTAACTCGTCAGAATCTGTCTTGTGCGTGTCTATTTCCTCGCGCCAGGATGTTCACTTGCTAGGATTGCTGCATTTTCCTACTTGCTGTGCATGCAACATCAGAATAGCAGATGGACTGATGAGCCAACTGTCATGTTTCCTGACTCAGCTGCTTGTGATTCAATTCATTGCAACTACAGCGCGCGGAATACTGCCAGCATGCTTATCCTTGGGCCTCGGAAATACATATTTCGCTTGAACCACCTCGATATAAACTCAAATAAATAATATTCGCCCCTTGACATGCCCAATTTGGCTCCTGAATGTCTTATCATTTCCTGAATCTGTCAAATAACGGGCCATCTGATTGTAAAGCAATGATGTTGAACACTGCCCGGGAACTGGAATAGAATATGTTGAATTATGTCTACTGGACATATTTTGTTCCAGGGGGCGAGCAAACAAAAGGAATGTAACATTGAACGTGTCGACTACTTCGCAGAGGAGGCATGGTAGGCCCAACGCCCAGGTCTCGGTCAGCGGGTGGCCCAGCGCGAGTCCAGGCGGATGTGTTTTGGGTCGGATATACCTCAATCGAACCGAAATTCCTGCGCTTCCTCAACGGTCATTGTGGTCTTTGTTGCCTGGCCAAGCTGAAAGGGACGGGTGTTTTGTCGCACATGCATTGTGTATCTAATTGTACATATATAATATACATAGGCAGAGGCAGGTATGCAGACCGACAAATCTTAGTCTTCTTTGCACGCATGGAGGTTGCCAGTGTGTTGGTAGGGGCTGCGATTTGACCCCACTTTTCGGAAAAAAATCTGGGGGAACCCTTTTAGACACCTGAAAGTAGTACTAGGAAGATCTTTAGGAAGCCATTCTTTTGGGGTTCCTGCTTTTATCCGACCTGAAGTGGCGCCATTTTGTTTGAGGGCGGGAGTGCAGTAAAGTCGACCACCAAAGAACAGGGTGCCGCTATGTCTCATAGCCACCGGAGGCGTCGGAAGGAATAAGTGGGTATGGGTCAAAATTAAACCACCAGGGGACCCCAGGGGACAGCAGGTTTTAGTCCTTCTTTCCATTTAACAGGGTTCCATTTGTGGTACCTATTTTTGACCCACAGCCAAGTGACTTTGCAGGACGCGAAGATTGGGCTCATCCAGTTCTGCCTGTCTGCCCCAAAGACAGACATGGAGAGCAACATCCAGGCGGGCGGGCGAGCAGCCGGCGATGCGGGGCCGTATATGAATGGCTGTTCCAGTGGGGGGGATTTGACCAAGGGAGCCACCCTTTGAAGACCAAAAGCATGCTGGCCGGGGGCTTTGTCCAGTCACTGCATTTGCCTGTTGCATCATTTGCCCAGTGGATTTGTGTTGTCGGCTTTTGGTTGGCTGGTGTTTCCCTTTACCAAAGATCCAACCAAACAGAGGGCCGGAGTTCTGCCGTGCAAGGACTTCTCTTTGACGGAAACCAGGCCAAGCTGCAAGGCCCAGGTTGAACACCGTACCCCCAGAATCCATGTTCAAAGACGCTGCTTCGTGGCAACTAGCCTCGTTGTTTCCAATGAAACCCTTCAGATCCGCCGATTAGTCCAAGCTCCTCGAACGCTGCCCTCTTTGCTCGAACCTGGTGATCCAGTGATTTGCATCACAGGTTAGAGCAGTGAAGGCTGACCTTGCTGCTTACGAGTCCTTACGAGGGCATGCAACAGCTGAGTAGCGTTGTTTCTTTTAGATGCCGGATTTTAGCTTCCGGGGAACTCCCAAAAAGGGCCGCGGAGGCACTTGCGTGCCGCGAAGGCTCGCAAAGCGCCGCAAGGCGAAGGCCCCGCGGTTTTTGGCACCGGCAAAGCCGCTTCACAAGGGCGATTTAGGAAATTGGCGAAGAAAAGGCTTAGCAGCTGAAGCAAGTTTCCACGAAGCCGCTCCGCAAAGCCGTCTTCGCGAAGCCTCGCGAAGGCGACTCTTTCACAAATTCTGCTCTTGCGAAGCCCCAGCAGTGTGAAAGCCCCGAACCACAAAAAGAAACTGCTCAAGTGAGTGTCGCCCAACCAAGCAGACTGTATGCAACATTTGAGCGGAACACAAGAAGCTCGGCTGGAGGTAAACCGAGCTCATCCATGACAAAGCTATCTAGGCTAGGGGATTCCCTTATTTCCGGCTTGGGAGTGAAAATAATCCGCCCACTAAGTTATGTCATGAGCCATTGCACTTTTGCCAGACGCCATGCTTGTCACACTTTGGTCTCGGGCCTTTCGCTGCACAGGGTGCAGGGGATATCAGGGGATATGTGCTTCAAATCACTTCTTAATGCCTTGCCAAATGCTGATGGGGTCCCTTAAATCTGTGGTGGTGTCCCAGGATTTAGGGATCCCCCATTTGGAATAGCCTCTGATCAAAGTAAGCAGGACCCTTTGTACAGGTCCCATAGCTCACCTTGGTTTCTTTTCTTAAATAGGAAATCCCCACTAAACGTGGCCTGCCCTAAAAGAGCTACAGTTTCCCTAGAACGTTGCCCCTTCCTTTTCGCCTCTTTGTTTGTCGAATTCCTCACTAAAACTGGTCAAACCCAACTATTCGTTTGACCTTCCAGGTCCGGGACTATGCGCAGATGGACCGGCTGCTGCGAGAGGAGCGCACACTTCTGGCGCCCATGGCAGAAGGATTCGGCGGGTGCGGCTTTCTTTCCCCTTGTTGTTCGGCTTTCCCACTGAAGCCGACCCCATATTCATCAACCCCGATTTATTAATAGGGGGTGTCCCTGGGTTTAGTGGGGAATCATCACTTTTGAAGAGGAACACCCCCCAACATTTTTCCGACATATTGCACAACTTGGAAAAAACAAAAGGGTGGCCTCAAGGGTTCGTCGGTTTTTAACCAGCCCGGGTTCCAATGATGTTCCAGCTCACTGAACTGGGGCCAAGCGCACTTTGAGTTCTGGGCGCACTTTTGGGGAGGGCCACCCTGGGAGCAATGAGGTGGCTTGTTCTTGTTTCTTGAGGCGAAGGGTACCCTGTTGTTGGTGGTTGAAAAGACCAAATCCCATGTTGGGGTTCCTCTCAACGACACGGTCATAACGGCAGAACAAATACATGCATTGTTCTGTTCAGCAGTTGTCTAGGATTATCTGATAGGGCCCTGGCGACCCCCTCCTTGCCCCAAAAGTGGTTTGGGCGCAGGTTGTTCAAAGGAACACATCAAAGCCTGTCACCGGGAAATCCCATTTGGAGACAAGGACTTCGCAAATGCCCGGTTTGGGTCTTGTAGAAACCAGCTAAAGGAAATCAATTCTTCAGGAAGGTGAAGCAAAAACTGTCAGAATCATCAGTAGCTCTACTACATCAGTAGGGTCCGCTCAAGTACACCCCTGGCTCGAAAGGGCGAGCGAGTTGGGTTCCGAGGCCAAGATGGTGAAGCAGATCGCCAAGACGGGCTGCAACGTGCTCCTGGTGCAGAAGTCCATCCTCCGTGATGCCGTCACCGACCTGTCTCTGGACTTCTGTGCCAAGGCCCAAGCGAAAGGAAAGCGGGAAGACGTGAGCTTCACGTCGCTCTTGCTTTGTTGGGCGGCAAGGTAGATGCTGCCCTTGACAACAGCCCATGCGTGTTTGTGTTTTGTTCCCGGAAGTCAAGTGTTCGGGGTTGCAGTCGCCTACTCAAGTTGTCAGTTTCTGGTTGTCAAAGTCAGAGTGCCAGGTGTTCCCTTGATCCTGATTTTGGTTAAGGGGTCCCGAAGCACAATTTGGCAAACAGCTTGTGGTTTTATTTTGGGCGCCGGTCAGCTGGGTGTTTTTATAAGCTGGTGGTCAAGGTTGGCGTCCTCGCGTTTTCTGGAGCTTGCAAGAATGCGCTTCGATACGTCGATAGCGGCCCAGCACGGGCACTTTTGGCTCTCGAACACACAACGAACACCAACTTCAGCATGTGTCCGAAAACGTTGACGACTTTGTCAATATTCTCCATGTACGCGGCGAGATACTTGTACTATGTTGTAAGCACATTCATTATTATTGCCATTGCTGGATTATCGTGCTCAAACTCATGAACGGCTCAAATGCGGTCTTAGATAAATATGGTCCGCTTTTATACGATTTTGACATGAATCTACACGACTGAGTGGCAGCAGCTGAAGATCAATGTTTTTCTCACTAGGGGCGGTTCGGGCTTTCCAATGTCAACGTCGAAAGGCTGCTGTCATCTTGGCATATATGTGTTCCTTCAAGTCGGGATTGAGGAAAGGATGACGAGTCCCAACAAACCTGTTCAGTGATCCTGCCTATGGCGAGCACACCGAGTAAACATCACCACGGTGCTTTGATTAAGCTTCCCTTGTTTCGCATTTTGCACATATAGTAGAATTTGCAGATGATCAGCCTTGACAGACGTTCACAGACCTCTAGCCTGGCCTATACACTTTCAGTGTCCGCTTTCACGATTGGAAAGCAAATTGGCAGTTCAAGCCACCGTTTCACACGAAGAGCTCCTCCCTGCTGGCTCTTTGTTGCTAACTAGCCGGAGTTAACGAGTCACCTGATGTCATCGCTAGCTGTTTGATGGACACATAGCCGTGCTAGTGTCTACACAATTAGTATGCCCTGCCCAACATTGCTTGTTAAATGTACAATGGTGCTTTGCCAAACCTAGAGCACAAGCACACCCAGCAACAGACCCAATTGCCTTGCCATCTATGACACTTGTGCCCATGATGGCTCCTCAACAAAACTTAAGAGGCAGTCCGTCATTCCAGATCCAGGTGGCTTGTCGCACATCGATCACATACTTTTGTTTTGTGCCTGGCCGCTTGTTTGGCCTGATCAATTCAGGCGAATCTATTAAAGGCAAAGCCACTCTCCATTGTAGAGACTGTTGCATTATTAGTGGTGGTAGGCATGAACTGTACGTGTATCAACTTGAAAAGCCTATATGATTGTTTAGGCCAGGTTTGTCAAGTACTGCTGAGAAACGTGTCGGGTCAGGGGCAATGACATGAGCTTGCAGGCTAGGTAGTTCAGGTGTTAGATGGAATCAAGTACCCCGCTTTCATGGAATTCTCCAACCTATCCCAAATCAACCAAGCTTCATCCAACCACCAACAACCCCGTGGCAATGATAGTCAGGACTTCCAAGTCAAGACAGTTAGTTGCTTAAACTGTCACTCCAGCACCGAGCCAAGACAGCCAATTCAAGCGGAAGACAAATTGCTCACGCACGCGTGGCTGCAGATGGCTTTCTACTGCAATTACTTGGGAAGTCAAGCCAACTAAGCAGCTAGACCGAAAAGTCAAACATTCGGCCAACCAATCAAGGCTGGCAAGGTCTATTTTCGGGCGTTGCCAGGCCAAGATTATGGTCGTGAAGGACATCGAGCGAGATGACATCGAATTCATTTCCAAGATTTTGGGTGTAGAGGCACTGGGCAGGGTTCCGGGCGTGACGAACAGGGGGTGAGAAAGGTGTCAGCTGGATGTAGCTGCCAAGTGAGGTGTAAAGCATGGCGATCTTTGGTCAATCAATACACAGGTGCCGCAAAGGGTTCCTGTGTTGTGATTTGTGTGAATTTGACGTAGCACGGGAAGGGAGACGAGGCTGGGCATATATACGCTTCCCTATGGGGCAGAATGCTTCCCAGGCAGGATTGCAGTTTGACATTGTTTGAAGCAGACGTGTACTGTATTGCACATGTTCTAGTCTAGGCAAATCATTTGACTGAGACATAGATGGTCCGGAAGCCACAGTGCGGGCAGAGGACTATTTGGGGGTTCACAATGATCCACGACACAGCAGTGATAGTCTGCTTTAGATTCTCCAGGCGTTTTCCATTCATGGCGGCATATGGACGCATAGGAAGGAGCACAATGTGCGGTTATTTCCGTGGAAACACATGATTGCCTTGTCTGGAAGCAAGGGGGTCTTCGAGCGAGCACATGCGTACGATGTGCAACAGTTGTTGACACTGGGTGAATAGAAACCCAAAAAGGGCGGAGCTTTGTTGGGATCCCCGAAAAGCAACCCGTCAAAGGGTCCCTCAACACCGTACATCTAGTTTAAAAACAAAAAAATCAATAACAAAACACATCTAGGCTTCTGAATGCTTGGGAGAACGAACTCCGCAAGTCATGTCTGCTTTAATGGGCTTCAACTTGTGTTTTCCTGTCAGTGTCATTTGACTCTCCTCAATGATGTTGGTGCTGTCTCCAAACTACGGGTGAACAAAATCGGGGATCAAGCTCTTCGACAAGAAGCAATCAACGCCCTCGCCGGCCGCAGTAAAAGCGGCCAATGCTGTCTCCAAGTGACGTCACTCGTAGCTTTGGACATGTTTAGAAGCTCTTGCCAGAAACCGCGAAATTTCGAAGGCCATTGCCTGAAAGGCTTGGGATAAAACGTTCTCAAACTCTCAAACGCAGTTCTTGTTGATGATACTGGTTAATGGACATTTGTGCGGTGTGTTGCGACCATGTCATCTTGCCTTGACACGTTGCTTGACGAGTTTATTCACAATGTCCCAGTTCGAAAACCATTGATGCAAGGTCCCTCTTGGACTCTTGGACGATGCTATATATAGTAGGGATGAATAATAATCATCCCGGAAGCTCAAAACCACAATCAGACCTCCTTTTTCGCCTTATCGGACATCATGCAAAGGTCCTCCGCTTTTTTGTGGATCTGACCGCTACGTCTCTTATTCTATTACAGGGTCATGGCGCAATGGCAGCGCCGGAAGCGGGAGGTTGTGGGTTGTGGGTTCAAGTTCACCTGCCCAGTATAAGCCTTCTTTTGGTGCAGTGACGACTGGCATGAAGAGGGCCAAAATCCCGTGTCAGTTTGGTTTAGGTGGTTCTACTACCTATTACTACTAGGTTTTATGAGGGTGGCTTACCACGTGCCTCGCTTCTTGATGGCTTGTAGAGCCCTAACCCCAGCCGCTACTTGGCTGGCCCAACCTCTTCTGCCCACTCCCGAAATTGGCATACTTCAATATTCCTGCCCATATTTCCCAAACAAAAACCAGCCAATTCCATTTCCTTGTCAAAGTCACCCTGGGGTTTCCCTCTACCCCAAAGGGTATCAAAGGTTCCCTGGTTACCACGTCCCATTTTCCCAGTGTTTGGGCCTTCCCCCCCCCCAAGAAAAAGAATCTGCTGCGCTCACAGAGGCCCCAGTGCAGCTTTTCGCGTGAGTGAACAGGCGGCAGCCACCTTGGACACCTTCAGCGCCGAGAAGCTCGCGAAGGCGAGCCCATGGCTGGGGCGGGGGGGTCGTTTTTGAGGGCAGTCCATTTATGCCTTTGGGCAAAGGGCAAATGAGAGCCACCTCACACAGATTGAAATATGGTGTTTTTTTTTCTGGGAAGCACAGAACGGTGCGTTGAGCTGCGCGTCAGCAGTCATAGCTCAGGTAGTCCGTCGCTCAGAAGCCGTGCACGGCGCGCAAAGCGCTGGTCGGTGAGATAGACATCCGTCTGCTTCCGGACTGCCTGGTGTCGGTAAGACAAGTTCATGGGTGAGTTATGATAGCTCATCGAAATCAGGGCAAGCCACTGAAGGAAGCTTTAATTATGGGCCTCGGCCTCGCACTCAACTCTGTGAGGCTTTAAGTTGCCCAGTAGCCGATCACCAGGTCCCCACCAATGGTTAGTATACTGATTCTGTGTTTTGAAGCCGTCCGCCAAGCGGAGTTGTAACTTGTAAAACACGGTAAATCCTCTGAGCCCATGTTCAGGGCGAGCCACAAACAGAACTCCATCCGAAACAAACAAGCATAATCAATCTAGGATATGCTGGGGATGCAGCCGGTGTCGTTCAAAACATTGTACCAGGCAGCTTTCTTTTGGTTCTTCAAGAGTAGCTGCCTGCAAAACCAGGGGTCCTGTGTTGGACAAGTTGACCAAACACAGCTCTGCCAGGCCTGCTGAAAATTCAACCTGGCTGGTTTTGGTTGCGACAAGCAAAACACCTGCGGCTTGAGGACCCCCAGAAGGACACATTCAAAACACCTGAGCCACAATCAAAACCTGGGTAGATGAAGGTTAGTAAGGGACGATCCCAACCAGAAATAGCTGCGGCCGCCTTCTTACTCCTTTACATGGTTCTGAGTTCACCAATTTTGTACCAGGTTTTGATTGCGACTCACCTAGCGTCCACGGATTTTGGGTTGGTGGATGGTTGTAACCTCCCTCGGACATCGCGGCATGGATGCGGCTCGGTGCAGCCTGACCTCGACTTCGGGTGGGTTGAGTGAAGCAGAGTCTCACATGCTCGCCCAAAACTACTGTTTGCCCTGCAAGGTGCTTTCATTCCTCCCAAGTTTCACAAGGATAAACACTTGTAGTAGATATAAATGTAAACCAATGAAGGTCAGAGGTTCTTGGGCGCTCGCGTTGAGAAGCTGATGGGCCCAATAGCCTGCGACTTGGTTGCCAGGCAGATCTGGTGATGGAAGAAAAGCTGGGCTCAGAGCCGCTCGGCGTCGGGGAATGTAACGATGTAAGGGTCTTTCTACTTAGAATGGGGCTGTGGGCTGATTGAACACCAACACAAGTCATGATCACAGAATATAGTAGCTTCTCGTACAGAAGAGAGGCGACATCAACCGAAGATGAGGGAGTGGAGCATGTGCCAAAGGCCAGTCCCTCAATGCCGGCCTGTGGACCAATCCTGTGATCCCGTGTTTTGTAGGGGCCTAAACAAGCCTTTCGATGTCCGAACAACCCAGCTTTGAGTCTAACCTTGCAACAGATAGGCTCTTACTAGCTCACCTGCAATCTTGGTGACACGCGTAAGTTGCAAGTGGCAAAGTAAGTGAACAGGAAAGCGACGCACGAGAATCGGGAAAGGAAGACACGGCAAAGATGCTATGTTTTTTCGCTGATTGTGAGCCTCCCAAAAAATAGAAGCTCTTTGCAGCCCGAAGCACGCGAAGCAACACAATCAATGGCTTTGCGTATTGTGCAACAGCCGTTTTCGTTGGTTATTCTTCGACATCGGGGCGGGTATTAGCATGTTGTTGTCATGTTCTTGATGTTCTTGCTAGCTTGACTTGCAGTAGTCAGTTTCTTCTGGACCATGGCTGTGACTCGCTCAGAACATGCGGGGCTTTCGGCTGAGGTTGGGCAGCATCGTGCGCTTCACAGGGCTGAAAGGGTCCACGGCCGGGGCCTTGGGTAGCGCCCCCAGGGAGGTTGATTTTTTTTTTGTAGGTTGAAGGGAACAGGTACTCGTATGTTGTTTTTTAAGAGTATAAAGGGCCATGATACCAACGACCAGGTGTCTTCTTTCTCTCCGAGGTTTACAGGCCCATCATACCAAAGACTGGCCATGTGGATTTTATGTGGGGTTGGAACTAAGAATGGTTTGGTTCCATACCGTTCCATGTCATCTAACTGTAACGCCTTGCAGGGAGCTTGCATTTCTTTAGAGCTAAGTCACTGAGAGCTTTTTTTGCGAGGGCGGCTGCGTGTCGGTCCTCGTCCGGGCGTCCAATCAGATGCTGCTGGATGAAACAGAGAGGCCAGGACGGAGAGCTTGCTCCAGACAAGAACTTGCATTTGCTTAAGAATATGTGTTACTTTCTCCTGTTTTATTCATTTTTTATTATTTAAGGGACTTTATCACTACCTTATTTTGCTTCTCCGGGAACTTAAGCAATGGAGGAGGAGGCTGTGGGCTGTTGGGAAAGATTTGCGGACGATCTGCCAACTCAGCGAGTTTCTTGCCATTTTCCCGCTCTTCACCAGTCCCTGCATGTTTGTTGCTAGAGAGAAAGAGTCTTGTGGTTCATCTTTTGTCTGCAGATGCCACTGGAACGTGACCTCTAATTTATGCTTCAATGGTCTTTTTTTTTAACGTGTTTCAACACAGCATGCGGTGCGAGTTGTTTGGCAACGATTCCCAAAGTCGAGATGGAGGGCAATCTAGCCCTGTCCAAGCAGCTACAGTAACTTCATATGCAAAAGCCCGGGGCATCAAAGGGTGGGCGGCAACTTCCAACCTGGCGACTGACTTTCAAAAGAGTGACTTCGTTCTGCGTGTTTGCAGGGCCCCTTTTTGTCACCCGTGAATGTCACGAAGCCGGCTTGCGGCCTTGCCTGCACACGTAAGAAGTGGCAACCATTGCAAGCGTCACACAAAGGCAGCAATGTGGTCATTTGGCCAACAATACGGGATCAATTGTTCCTAGGCACCTGTGTATCAGTTGCTTGCTCGAGCTTCTTGCGCGGGCTGTTGCCTTAGGGCCGCGCACACCGAGTGAGGAACAAGACAAGAGTTGTTGTCCATTGCTGCCCATCAGATTTTTGTCTATTTTGTCCCGAGCTCAACTGGGGGCAAAAAGAGCTTTCCATATAGGTCTTTCACTTGGAGATCCCCCTTATTTCAGGCTTTTGTGTCGTTGTACATCGGGATCCGATGGCTTTCTATGTGCCAGGTCCATCCACGACGCGCTGTGTGTGGTCCGAAGCCTCGTGAAGAAGAAGGCACATGCATGTTGAAGTTGTTTGGTTGGGAGTTCATGCATAGTTGAAGGGTGTTGTCTTCTGCCTGTCTTTGATTTGTTCATTGTGTTCTTCTTCCTTGAAGGGTGTTCACTGAAATTTGAATCAAGGCAAGCTCCTTGGCGGCGGGTGCGACCAGTCTCGTAGCAACGGGCTTCGTCTGCGTGAGCCAGGCGCTGATTGCGGGGGGCGCGGCGCCGGAGATGGAGATTACACAGAAGCTGGACTCCTGGGCCAGGAGAAGGGTGGGGTGGGGTGGGATGTGGGGTGGGATGTGGGGTGGGATGTGGGGTGGGATGTGGGGTGGGATGTGGGGTGGGATGTGGGGTGGGATGTGGGGTGGGATGTGGGGTGGGGTGGGATGTGGGGTGGGATGTGGGGTGGGATGTGGGGTGGGATGTGGGGTGGGGTGGGGGGCAGGGTGAGGGGGCAAGGGCCCAAGCAGGATCAGCTCTTTGCGTCCGCCGGGTTGTGACAATGCATTCAAGGTCCCCATTAGAGTCATCATGTCCTCGCCATTTCTGTCCGCTCCCTTTCTGTTTTTTCTCATTCCCTTCATGATCTTTCATTTCCAGCCACTCCCGAGCGCCTGGCTGGGCCGAAAAAGCGCTCGTTCGCCTTGAGTTATTTGATAGCTGAGAAATTGAAAGGAAACAGAAAGGACAAGGATTAAAAGGACATGGAAACGGAGTACCGGAGCCACCATTTCCCTTCTCTCTGTCTCTCTCTCTCTCTCTCTCTCTGTCTTTTTCTAAGAGGAATATTGGAGAGGAGGAATGAAGGGGACCAGTCTGCACCCTCATCCATCAAAAGGTTGTAGGTTCTGTGGTCTCGCTTTTTCACGGTTCTTATCTTTATAATAATTATATCATTTCACGTTCTATCTTCTCCAACAGCAGAATCACTATTCAAATATTAGACATATGTCCATCATTTTATGTGTGATTGTCCTCTTCATATCTTGTTACATGGAATATTATTATTTATGTTATTGTATTTCTGTATCTTTAGTCTTGTAATTTCCTCTTTATTCCAAGATGGACGAGGTAAGATGCAAATCTATGAGAATCCTTGCTTGCCAATCTTTACCTGCTTCATTTTGTTTGCTTTATCATCTCATTATGTCACCTGAGAAATTGACGAACAGATCAAAGGGACAGAAAGGAACTGGAAACAAAAGAAAACGGAAGCGACACAAAAATGAAACGAGAGAAAATGAACACAACTGAAAAGGAAATGCAAAGGGCACGAAACACTACACAGAAATAGTTATGGCCTGTCGGGCAACAGAAGGGCATGGAAAGCGGAAGTGGAAGAAAAGCGGCCGCCAAAGAAGCATGAACCGAGGGCAAGAAACAATGTTTTTTTCATACGGTTGCATTGTCAGGGGCAGGTGGTGTAGTGGTACAAGCTCGTTTGGCATGCGTAAGATACCGAGTTCAATCCTTAGAATGTCGATTCATATCAGCTTCATGGTTTGGATGTTTTCTTTTCCTGAAAGACATTGGGGATTTGTTGTTCAACGATGGGTGCCCCCCCCCCTTCGAAGAGCAGCTATGATATTTCTTGTAGCTGATTGCTCTTCGTTGCTCATATAAAGGCATCGACTGTACTTGCACAGGATCACTTCTACAGTGACTCCTCTGCTCACACTCAGTCAATCAGCGCGGTTACTTACCTCTGAGGATGTAAAGCTTTTCTGCTCTAAGGGAGATTGCCTTGCAGGCTTGATGACATTCTGCAGCAGAAGTATGTCTGAAGAAGAAGGTAATTTTGCGCTCTGAATACTCATGCTGTGAAGAATTATGGCATGCCGAGGGACATGCCGAGGGACATGCCGAGGGACATGCCGAGGGACATGCCGAGGGACATGCCGCGAAAGTTCCTGCTGTGCAGGTCCACACTGTGAAGGTACATGTCGTGAAGACACGGTGAATAATTATGCCGTGACTGTTCTTGGCCTGAATGTTCATCCTGCGGATGAATATGCTGCGGATGCTCATCCTGCTTGTTCAACAGCTGCACTTCAGTGAGCTATGGCACATCCTCAAGATTGAAGTCTCTGTCTCTCATCCTCCGTGCAACAGCTGTAGGCTGTATAGTTGATTGTTGCAGTCTAAGGTTATTCAAAGACAAGACACTTGGATTATTTTGGGGCACAGGCCAAGAAATTATTTATCTGCTCCGTTCAAAACATCTGTCTCAGCCACGACAGACAGTGACAGCGACAGCAGAGTGACAGACACAGACAGTAGACAGTCTCTTTGTCTGTCGCTCTCACTGTCTCTGTCTCTGTGAGAGCGACAGACAGCGAGAGTCTGGCGCTACTCTCTCCGTCTAGCTTTTGCTGTCCCTTGTCTTTCTGTCTGTCGGTCCCTCACTGCCGGTCGCGCTCACTCACTGCTGGTCGCGCTCACTCACTGCCGGTCGCGCTCACTCACTGCCCTTTCTTTCTCTCTGTCTCTCCCTCCCTCTCTCTCTCTCTCTTTGTCTCTCCCTCTCTCTCTCTCTCTTTGTCTCTCCCTCTCTCTCTCTGTCTCTCTCTGTCTCTCCCTCTCTCTCTCTCTCTCTCTCTCTCTGTCTTTCCCTCTCTCCCACTCTCTCTCTCTCTCTCTTTGTCTCTCTCTCTCTCTCTCTCCCCCTCTCTCTCTCTCTGTCCCTCCCAGTGCTTGGTCCGACAAGGTCCAACATCCAGTTGTACCGAGAATTGACTCATCGCGTCAGGAGTGTCGGCGGCATTTTTCAGGTTTGCATCCAGCACTACGCCGAAGCGTTGGAACTCGTTTCCCGGCATAGCATGCCAAGAATCCTGGGATTTTAATGTTCGGACAGTGTTGGTTAATCAGTTGGTTGTGGGTCGAAACCAATGGTACCATTTTGGGGCAGGTGGATTGGGATGCTCACTGGGGTACGGGATTTGACCCAGTGTTCAAAGAGACAAAACATAAGCTGCAGCCCTGAGATCGCCATAGTTATTGGAACAAAACACCGGCCCAGCTGTTCAAGTTATATGGCCATGGGGCATAACCTATGGCTCCCTTTTTGGGGTGGGTGAACATCCATTTGCCTCCTATTTTGATGTTCACCAGGGGTACAGAGTTTTGACCCTCAGCCATATGATTTCGCTATGCGCTGAACTGCCTAAGAATCTGAACGAAGAATAGAGCAGTATACCTTGTCCTTTTAAACTAACTCCTGCTTAAATTGCTTCGGTTGCCTGATATCAGATTGCCAGCTTTCTGCAATTGCTCAGGGAGCCATTGAAGTGAGCCAGGGTGAGAGTTTTGAGTGAACGAGAATAGCTGCTTTTACCCAATTGTCATTTTGGCTAAAACTCATACGAATGTGTCTTGAATGGAGACCCCGCAAATAGCGGGTATTCTTCTGGTTTCTCTCCAAAACAACCCGAAAGGGGGCTTGCCCTGAAGATAAGACCTTCATTCTGATTACTAGGGCTGGTCATTAACCCTTTAGAGACTTTCATGACCCACAGATTCGAAGTTTTGACCATCGTTTGCTGAGGGCAAACCTTTTTCTGGTTGCTTTGTGGGAAGCCAAAGAACAAACCCAGGATCAGGACAAACATCGACCGAAAAAAAGGTGCCCTATACGCTGGCGGAGAACGCTGGCATGCAGCCGGTGGAGATTGTGACCCAGTTGCGGGCCGCCCATGCCAAGGGGGAGAAATACGCGGGCATCAACGTGAAGACGCGTGGCCTTTGGGCGGTGCGATGCAGTGCAACAGTTCGGTCCAGTCGAAGTGTAAAAGGTTTGTCCCTTGGTACCTCTGAATCGAAAGCAGTTTTCGAGGGGTCAGAAGGGGGGATGAATGGGGCAAAGTGCCTTCTTTGCAGGCATTTGGATCCTTAGGGGGTTGAAAATGGGAGGGGGTTTCAATGTTGAGCTCGGCAGGCCGATTTTGCAGGTGTCTGTCCACTGCAGTGACATCCTACCCATCTTTTGGCGATCAATCCCCAACACAGGGAGAGAAAGGCAGACAAGGAGGCATCAAGAGTGGCAAAAGCAAGCCATTTGCTTCCCCTGCCGGGAAAAGGGCAAGAGCCTTTGTGTTGTGTTTGGTGCTACAACAGTGCGCCTTTTCCGCTAGAGACACAATCACAAACTCAAGTGTTTTTTTTGTTTTTTTTTGAATCTAGATTAGCGCCCACCAAAGGAATGTGCCCAAGCTGCGCACGTTTCCGATTTTCAAGGGCCGATTGTATATGTCCATATATGTACCCTTGGTGGATCTCCCAAATCAAGCTTTAGTTAGGTGTTATTTACGGGTTAATTTCGAAAGGTTCGGACCAAGAAAATCCATGAAGAAATGCGGCATAGCGGGAAGTCCCCGCTCCCGGGGAACCACAATCCAGTCACCACCGTCTATGAGTCAATGAGCCGCGATGGCCACGTACCGCACGATGCTTGTGTCACCGGAAGCACTCACACACCCCAAGAAGACCTCCCTAACAATAACCTTAAAATTGACAACGCCTCAATTTCAATCCATAACTATAGATCCGTCCCAGGGTCTATAAATGAACCTATAGGTTTCTCCTTTGAGATTTGGTATGTGCTTGTGTCAATTTTGCTACATACACGAAGTCATTACGCCCTTGGACGCTCGGACTCACGCGTGCACCGCGGCCTATCCTGCCGGTCTCTTCAGGTACCGTGGATCCGGCTCTTGCTCCGCAGATCCCCTTCCAGCAGCCGCAGCAGCAGCAACAGACACCTGCCCCGGCTGACACTGCTGGATCTTCCAATGCGCCTCTGGGGTACGCATTGGTGCAAACTGGAGCGCCAAACCCCACTGCGATGCCTGCGCGGCCGCCAGTGGCTCAGCAGGCTATGCCACAGCGTCAGGCACCGCCTCCTATGGCCCCTGGCGGTGGCGGTGGTGACCCGCCTGGTCCCATGCCTCTTGCGACGTTGCCACTGGACTACTCGAATGGGCCGGAGTCGTATGGCCTTGCAGCCGGTGGCGACACCGCGGCGCCCAACGACGAGGTGCTGGTCGGTCTCCCTGAGCACTTTCCACAACATGTGTCCGGCACGCCACGCGACTGGGACGATGCTCTTCGCATGTCGCTGGCCACTATGGCGCACAATCACATGGCCGGAAACGCCCAAGAGACGCGGCTGATCCTGTCAGCGCTGATGGCCATCACGTTGAACAGGTTGGACTCCATGTTGGCGCACGACGGCCAGTCGGTGAACTACACGGACGCAAGGCACAGGGTCGTTGACCAGGGCACGTTCAGCTCACGAACATGGGAGCGTGGGCACAAGCACACAGCCACGCGGAGAAATGCCATGGTACAGTTGTGTGGCGCCTCATGAATACTGAGTGATGGGGTCTTTTTGCGCTGGCCCCCTGATCGTATCCTTTGCGGCACATTTGATTTTTCTTTGCCCTGCAACTCAATGGCCAGTTGGCGGTTCATCACATATAATCCTCAATCCCTTCGTAGATGCGACCGTGAGAGAAGAGTGGCGCATGCTTTACAATCCAATGACGTCATTGCGCTCACAGGAACGAGACTTCCAGCAAATGACCTGGAGGTGTCCGCGAGAAGCTGTGAATCCTTTGACGTTTATAGCTGGGGCTTCGGACAAGAACAGTACACCAACACGCACACAGGTGTCCAATTGTGTCTTAAGCGGCGGATTTTCAGACAGTCTCATGTGGTGCAAATTTCATGCCCAACCCCTGCGCTTCAAGGCAGAGGAGGCGCCCTTCGAGTCAAGCGAAGGGATGTGGATTTCTGCTTCATTGTTTGCTATTTCCACCCGGATTCCAATTTGCCTTACCCTCAGCGAGTCAACGATGCATGGTGGAACTGGGTGGACAAAGCTTTTGGGAGGGCAGCATGGCTGGCCAATGCTTGACAGGCAGCTTGTTGTCACCAACCAGTGTTTTTTTTGCAAGGGGATTTTTCCAACATTTACACAGTTCGGCACGTGCGGGCAGCATTGTTGTCTCAGAGCTGTAGCGGCAAGTCCAGTCTCACAAAAAAGGATCCAGACATCCCTAAGACTCTTGACTGCTCTCAACCGCTCTGTCGTGGTGATATAGATCTTGACCGACTTGCCGCCGTACGCTGGCGCCACCCTGCAGTAAAGCACCTCGTGGACCAGCTTCTCTGGCGAATCCGCAGCGGCCATGTGCTCTTCCACGTGGCGCTTAGACTCGCCACTCAACCCAGCGCAAGTCTCTGTGGCCAACGCAGCCCACACATGAACATGGTCCATACTCATGATTTTTGCCAGCTGCTTGAACCATCTCGTTGTATTTCTGGCTCGCCTCCTTTGCCTTTTCGGTAAAGCTCGCCTGTGTTGGCATCAGGCAAGTCCGGAACGTAGCTGACTGCAAGGCACGCACATCTGCCGCCAGCTTGACATTGATCTTGGCCAGCACCTTCATTGCCTTCATCACGATCTCCTCGCTCTCTCCGCCCACTTGAATCTTTCGATGGGACAGTTGAAGATTTCAGTTTCCTTCAAGGCTGTGGGATTGAGTGTCCATGAACTTTCCCACCGTTCCCGGGGTTTTGGGAAGGCCGTGGTTGCCAGTGAGTTGTGCAGGCGACTCCCACCCTCCATGAGCTGAAAAAGGACTGATGAAGAGGACTTGTCGGTACATCTACCCTTCTAGTTCCTCAAAAAGTGACGACCTGGCCGCTTTGGGTTAGTTCAACGGGAGTTCAGAAAGCATTTTTTTGTCAGAGGGAGCTCCTCATTTGGAGCCACACCGAATCCGTTTTTGTGTGCTGAAGAGTTGTGACAGCGTGTTTCCCTTGTCCCGGCGTTGAGCTGGCCTTGTCAGACTCATCACCATTCGTAGTAGTTTTGTTGTGTTTCCCTAAGGAAGGGCTGCATCAGCGACATGTTCGCGGAGAACGTGGTGCAGCCGCTGCTGGTTTCCACCAGCGCCATCTCCATGGCCACAGAGACAGCGCCTTGCCGTAGTGCGGTCATGGGACAGCCGGGGGGTGCGACATATCCCTATGATTTTCTGTGGGTTTATAGCTTTGGTTTGAGGGTTCAGGGAGGGTTGCTGCTCTTTCTCGTTTAGCTGTTTCAGTGAAAACCAGAAAATTTGAAAGGAAGTCCCCTAGAAGGAGGTTCAGGAGATTCCTTTAAGCATCCTTGTTGGTTCCATGTTAATCTGCACCCCTGCAAAACCTGTGCCCAGCCAATTCTGCGTCTTTCACATTTCGGAGTTTCTCAGATGAAAGGCGTGTTTTGCAAATGAGTTGAATTACTTGTTTGAGCACCCACTGCTTCCCCAAAGATTGCCGCAACCTCAAAGGACCCTGAAGAAACGGTCCCCAACAAGAGATAGCATAGCTTGAGTTCTATTTACATACTGGTTAGTTGGGAGCGACGAATCGAATCTGAAGCCTTGCCATCTGTGAGTTGTCTTCGTTTTGAGGCCCACTTGTTCGTGAAAGGTAAGATGTGTAGTGCTGGGTTTGGGATGTCACCCTTCAAGGCTTTGGCAGACTAGGCCTTGAAGCAATTGCTCCCTACTGCCTGAGTTGGCACCTGAATTCACGGACTTGAGTTTTTTTGCAAGACCGTTTTAGTGGCAAAAACAAGTTTGTTTTGGGGGCAATCAACTCAGGAAGGGATGAGTCAAAAGCAACAACCAGAGCTGTTGTTTTTGTTCAGATCTGGTTCCCTGGCTGATTGATTGCTTTCTTTGCTTTGCTTTGCTTTGCTTTGCTTTGCTTTGCTTTGCTTTGCTTTGCTTTGCTTTGCTTTGCTTTGCTTTGCCTGCTTGCTGCTTGGTTGGGCTGCATCCCTAGCATCACAAGCCTCACTTGGACCTGGGCTGCCTGTTGTCCCTGATTTGGTGGCAGTTGGGAATTGCTTGGGACTGGTTCGATTAGGTGGGTTTTTGGCTGAGGGCGGGTGTTGGGTTGGTTTGAGGTTCCAAGGTTTAGCAGCGCTCTGGGGTTGCGTGTTTCAGGCTAGTTGTGGTGGTTTGGGTGCCATGCTCCAAACTCAAGCCCAAACCAGCCCCAAACTCACTCAACCCTGCACAAATCAGATCTCAGCCAACCCCAAACCGACTCGAAGTCAACCCAAATCCCACGGAACAGCAGCCAGGATTTCCCGCGCACATCACACGTCAGCTAGAAACATCATCTTGGATGTCAGCCTTTTGCCAAGCCAAGATGAACGCCAAACCAGCCCAAGACCCGCCCTCACTCTGCTCTAAGCCAGCTTGAATCATAAGCCAGGCTCCACCCCGATTCGATGCTCGGGATACTGCTGGCGCAAGGCAAAACTGGCGCTGGTTAAACAAGATCTATTCTCAGAAAGTGAGTTGTAAGTGGCCCGGGTTGGAGCGTGCACATTGACGGATCACCGAGGTTCGTATGATTCTCAAGATCGACGACATCGTGCTTGTTCGGTGATGCACTCTAGGTTTGGGACCATCTGGGGAACGTGGGATAGAGTCAGCACCGATGGGCAAGACGCGCCGCATGCGCTAGCCGCATGCGCTAGCCGCGCGCCTCCTGAAAAAGATTGCCGCGCGGCGCAGCTGCACCCATTCAAATGGCACATATCCCTTTTACCTTCAGATTAACGTGGTCCAAATTTGGGAAGGGCTGCAAAATAAGAAATCTTCCTGATGGAATGGCGTCAAAGGAATACCACAAGCACAAGTTCAGAATTTGCCTGAACCCATATTTGGGCCATTATGGCGACCTTGCATGGAGAAGCCTCTCTTCGAGATCCCTTAGCTTTGCTAGGTAACCCATAGTACTTCCCCCATGCATGGTTCAAATATGCCCCTTCGCTTGTTGCTTCTGAAGATTGTGTAAGTACACAGAAATAAACAAAAACCCACGCGGTTTCAGAAGTCCCCCATTTTTGGACACCCCCCGTGAATCCATTCCTCGTGGACTCCCAGGCTTAGCCCCGACGATGTATCGCGCCGGGTTTGGTCGGCCAGGGTTTCCGGTGTTTGTAGAATCGTCTGGCTGCAGGCCCCGTTTGGGGAAGCTTTGGGTTTGAGGAATGGTAAGTTGGGAATTTAACCAAAAGGTGACAAAAGCTGATCGGCAGAAGGTGGGTTCCACTGTCACTGGTCTGACTCTTGGTTTGACAAAAGCTTACCCCTGGAGTTCCTGGACTTTAGTCGCTTGTTGGGGTTGGACCGTTTTAGTGGCACTCGCAAAGGTTTGTTACCTTTGGCGGCCCATCTACTCGATCGGTGAGAAAGGTGAGAAGAGCAAGGTGACCCGAGTCACACTCAAACAAAACCCGGGTAATTGGAGGGTAAGGGACAATCCCAGCCATAAATGGACGCGGATATCCGCCTTTTCAATTCTTGAAGCATGGTTCTGGATAGACTTGCTGGTGCGATGGGCAGGGAATGAGAAATGGAATGACCCCAAAAAAACGATCCATCCTATGGTGTCCTTTTTGTTCGGGAATCCCCAACATGGCTCATTCCCAAAACCCGGGGTCATCGTCATCCCTACCTCTCGCACCAAGTTAAAGATCTTTCCTCTCGTACCCCTATAAACATTCCCTTTGGTTTTCTTTCTTCGGGAATCCCGAAAAATCGGGGCTCATTCCCTAGGTCGTCAGTAGTGCCCTTTTCCCCCTGTTTTGGTGGGAGGCTTCCCCTACTAAGATAATTAGACTACAGAAAAGAACATCGGGTACCCTTATTCTAACCTCTCAAATCTGGAGAATCTGGACGTTGGCCGCAAGTGGGTATGGCTCAAAATTGAACAGGAGGGGCAACACCGCAGGTTTTGGTCCATGTTTCCACTTGCCAGGGCAAGCCATTTTGGAGTTCCGGTTTTTTGAGCCACAGCCAAGTGGCGGTTCTCCACGTCTCAGGTGGTTGCCTCCTACAAGCCGGGGGACGCCCAGAAGTTGGGCCTCGGCCCGGAGCTGCGGACGAACGCCCCGCGGCTCATCTACGCGCCTGGGCGGCGTTTTTCAGCCTGAGGGTGGGTGGGGGGGGAGGGGTGTGGGGTTGGGAGGGTTGGGGGGTTTTGGGGGGAGGGTTGTGGGGTTTCGGGGGTGGAGGGTTGGGGGGTTTCGGGGGGGAGGGTTGGGGGTGGCGGTGAGGTGGGGGGATGAGGTGGGGGGATGGGGGGATGAGGTGGGGGGATGGGGGGGTGGGTTGGGAGATTTGGGGGGTTTATGATTGTTACTCACTGGGGGATCGAACCGACCACGACGCTCAGGCGCAGGTGACTGGATATGGGCTGGAGGACGCGCGCGTGGGCTACGATGCCGTGGTTCAGGCGAGCCACGAGGGTTGTTTGGGTTGGGCCTATTGTTCGAACGTGCGGGTAGGTGTCAAAGGGTTTTGGACCTTCCAAATGGTGGCTCTGCTTCGTTTTCCAATACAACAATTCTTTCAAGGGGGACCCAGACCCACAGAATATTCGAGGACTAGGATTGCTGTGAATATTTTTGGGGTGGTAGCCCCTTTTGAGCCATTCAGAGGATAGATTCGAGGATACCACTTTGATGAACCCAGTGGCCATTGGCGGACAAGAAGTCAATTTGAGCCTGCACAAATTGTTTAAGCAGCCTCTGTTTGGCTGCCCTTTGAACTTGACCGTGGTCTGGTTATTTACCCGCATTTGCCCAACCCTGGTCAGTCGCCGGGACCTCAAATGGTTTCGTTGCTGGCTTGTGTGAAGACTTGTCCGTGAAATCAACCAACAGAAAGGACGTTCCTTTCGCAGCCACATCAATATATATATATATATATATATATTTAGCAAATTCCAAGGCCAGGGTTACCAACCGCTTTGCAGCATCTTTTTATGACCCATGTTGCTGTTTGATGGTTGTGCTTCACTTATCCGCTTGGCATTGGCTGATTCTCGGGGTTGTCGAGGCAAAAGGTCGGGAGTGGAATGACCGATCAAAAGAGCAGACACAGCCGCACGGGCTGTTGGTCATATACCCGTAGAACTGGGGGCTAGTGGGACGTCTCTCAGACGGAGGAACATTGGTAGTTCGCACGTCGACACAGGCTCAAAATGTCAAGCAAAGCGACCAGGGCCTAAACCTGTCCCGGATCAAAGGAACATCAACGGAATGTTTGTTGCATGGTGACTGTTCGGCTGGCCTTCATATGTTCAGCTTAATATCACTTTACACATCGATGAAGTAGTTGTTCTTTGCATATTTGTGCTTGCTTTGTTTGCTTTGATTTGCTTTGCTTTGCTTTGCATTGCGTTGCCTTGCTTGCTTCCTTGCGCTTCATTGCGTCATTGCTTCATTACTTGCATTGCTTATGCGTGTCTTCATTGAAGCAGTGGACTTCAGGCGGAGTCTGGCTTTACCTTTATGAATGGCAGCAAGGGCGAGGCAGGCGTGTGGCGGCTCATCGGGCAGTTGAGTCGGGATATTGGAGCTGCATTGCACGCGGTGGTTCTTCCCAACAAGTTGAGGGGCAGTGGGAAATAGAAAGAGATGGCATATCTTCTATCTCCATTTCTTCGTCTCGTTACTAACGATGATAGCAATGGGATGAAGAGATGGGTCGTTCTCTTTGTCACGTGCACTCATAGCATTACACTGCCGCTGTTGCATGATCCATCTCCGTGGTACGGTGGCCAACTTGATTTGTCCTCGGCAGCACTGGGAGATGTTTCTATGTGGGACATATCTGTTATATACATGTACACATGTGTTGCTTTTGGCTTGGGTTGAGGTTGAGTTTTGACTGTGTGTGGGTCGTTTCACATGGTCAGTTGGCTATCTTTAGGCAATTGCTCTGCTGGTTCTGAGGCTAGTTTGCAAGTGGGTTGAGTTTATTTCCGTGTTTCCGTAAGCCTGTTCCCCAGAATAGCGATAGAACTGATGTTACTTGACTGTTCACTAAGCATGGAACAGAACACACATACTAAGACATGCTATGGTTGGTCGGGGGCACAAACTGAGGTAGCCCTTTTATTCCCCTTCCTCCTTGCCCCATCCCGGTCCCTCCCGTCGGTCTCAGGCAGGGCAGCCCACCAAGATGCCGGTTGCGCTCGTGGATCTCCTGGCGGCGCACCAATTGAAGGAGGACGGGTGCAACCCGTTTGCGGACAAACACGTCCAACTAGTGTGTGTTGACTGTTTGTGGAGGTTATCAAACTCAGCAAGCTTGGTTTTGCTTTAGCCTGCCACTCGGGGGGGTAACTTTGACCACATGAGGCCAGTCGAAGCGCTGTTCCTGATGCAATGATTGTGGATTCGTGGTAGGCCATTTTGCTGGCGCTCTTGCAGCGTGAGCGTACAGGCGAAGGCGGGAGGGAGCTCACGGTGGGGAAGGGTCATGTGAGCTCGTGAAGGCGCAAAAAAGGACCGTCCTAGAATCCTCGCTGCCTGGGATTAGTCGCTGATAATTGCCCAGTTGTAGGAACATTATCCACACATATATAGTCCCAGGATAGGCATGCAGTCAGGCCTTTGATCGTTGAGCAGTTGCGAACGCTAGGTGCGCATGTGCACGTGTCCCTGATGGCGGCAGCAGTCGCATCCCTAGCCAATCAGGCACGCGGAGATGTGTTCACGAAGACAAGCTATGCATTGTTATTTGAACAGTTAGTTATTTGCCTCCAAGCAAACTTGACCTATCATGTCGGCAAAGTTGAGATACACAGTCATTATGTGGACACTACCTTTAGGATGCCAGCAAGCTTTCTCCAGAAATGCACACGGGATGGTGGGAGTCTGAGTCCAAACGATCCAGAGCCTTTGAGAGACTGGTCGCTGAATGTTGGGCTGAAGAATCTCAGTGTTGTTTCCTGTCATAACCCTAGTGCAACAGTTCATGTTTGTGACCCTTTCGCAAGGATCATGCGCCAACGGACGTTGAACTGCATGGAGTGATGAAGGTGGGCTATTTGCCACTTAGAGTGCGCCACATGTGATGGAGAGGGTGGTTCTGCGCTGGCCGGAGATTGGTGAGATATGTAGAATCTAGCACAGTCGCGGGAGATCTCCGGAGGTCGTTCGGGCCAACCCTTGTGTGTCGACGAGTCGACCCTGTTGGCTCCAAATTGTTCGCCAACCCCTTGGCTCTTACCGCAAGAAGTCCCTGGAGCCCGGGCCACGGAGCCGAAGGGCCGTTTCGGCCTCTTTGCCCAGAAGTAAGACCTCCAGCTAGCCTTGGGCGCGGAGAACCAAGTTGCCATTCTCAGCTGCATTCTTTGCAAAACGGCGACCAAGCAGAAGAAGGCGGAAGCCCTGAACCCTCAAGTCCCAAACCTGAATCCCTAAACCCTAAAGTGCCAAACCTCAAAAACCTTGACGCCCCAAATTGTTTCACCCTGAAATCCCACACCCCGAAAGTCCCAACCCCAATAAAGCCACTTCGTGCCAGGCCACCGGCTACCTGCTGGCAGGTCAGGTCCCACAGCGGATGGGCTCCGACACCTGGCGAGTGACTGGGTTCTTCTCCAAAGCCATGTGGCTGGCTGGGTTTCCGTGGGTTTCCATGGGTTCTCCGGCTGGCTCGTCTTTTTCGCAGTTACAAGTACCCTTGTTTGGTGGTTTTTCAAGGGCAACCAGAAAGCCGAGGTCCATTTCTTGGGTCTGAAAAACGACTGGAGCCATGTTGTCTTAGCCCCGAATCCAAGCATTTGGAGGATGGCTTAACGGGTCGCGCACCTGGACAACGGGTGCCAAATACCTCATTTGTTGCTTACCTTCTTCAAAATGACTACTCAGCTATCGAGCACCCGGATATTCGCGCGTGAATTGAATGTTATGGATTTCAGAGTTGGGCCAAGGTGAGAGGTCTGTTGCTTTTCCCGTTTGCGAGGGATGCGGAGTTGTTTGGCGTGGTGTCTCTTTAAGGCGTCTTCGTGGCGTCTCTGAAAGCGCCCCTTTTCAGGCCCAAAACAATATTGTCCCTTGGCTCTTTGCAGTTGCCCAAGGACCACCCGTCCATTTGCCCCTATGGTACTGACTTCTACGACAAGGCCGGACGGGCTGGACAGCTGGACCTTGTTTGGCAGGATAGGACCTGTATTGGAGCCATGCTTGCGAGTTTGTTTCTTGCGTTTTGGATGATTTTGGCGAAGAACGACACGGGAGAACCCCCACAACTGTGCATGCCCTCCCATTTCCTCAACAAGTAAACGGGGTTGTGCGCCCAAGCCCGTCTTAAAGTACGGCTGGTTTGTTTTGACGTGCATTTCCACGCGTGCGCCGTGGGCTGGCACCGCAAACGAAACACGAGCGACAACTGTGGGCTTGTTGTGAGTGCTGCTCAGCAGCTTAGAGGGTCCTGGGTTACTAAGCCAGGTCCCCTGAGGGGTTGTTGCCCCCCAAAAGTACAGGAAGTCAAGGATTCCCCTCAAAACTTGAGTCCCAAACAATTGGCGAGTTGATGAATTTTGGGGGAACATTGCCTGGCGCGCTAGGATGGCTTGCCCTTGATCCTGGCAGCCAGCGCCTTGGTGTTCCGCTCGACTGAAGACAGCCCGAAATGGGCGGTTTTTTTGGGGGTGGGGGGGCTGGAAGACCATCCCATTGTGGGGCTCCTGCAAAGCCATCCCGGAAGGAGAAGCCTTGTTTAAAAAAGAGAGACACACCCGGGCAGCCTGGGAGTCATGCTCATTTTTTTGAATTTCAGGGAAGGCATTCGAAGCAGAGACGGTTATGCAGGAAGTGGTAGGATCCTCCTTTTGAGTTGAAACTGGGAAGGGGCGCCAGTGGGGCCATTGTCAGTGAACACACATCACGCATTGTAGCCCTAAACTGAAACGAATAGCTGTGGCGGGTGTATGTCATGTTCCCGCCTGTTCAGAAAGTGATTTCCCGATCTGCTGCAGTGACATGAAAGTGTAACTTGGAGAACGGGCCCCGAATAAAAATTGTCTCCAAGCCCGAGAGCGCTTGAAACAAAAGCAATACAAAAAAAAACATAAAATACATAAGTTTAGAGAAATAGAGAGACACACCCCCAATTGAGCAGCGTTTTTTTTAAATGCAGGAGCCAAAAGGAGAGGGGAACTGGCATGGTAGCCGCGTAGCCTACTCCTGGTACCGCGTAGCCTCGCATAGCCTCCGCGTAGCCACTAGCAAAGGGAGCTGTCGACAATCGTCCGCGTAGCCTCCGCCCAGATCCTTTGTCTTGAGCTCAAGGCTTAGGTTGAAAGCTTGCGTGTCTCAGAGAAAGAGGGTGAATTTGATTTGCCTTGGCCCAGCCAGAGCTGAGTTCGCTCATTCCGCGTAGCCTCAGCGTAGCCTGCGCGTAGCCTCCGCGTAGCCTCCAAGGCGTGTTCAAGGCCACTGGCCCACATGCCCCATTACTACTACTACTGCTACTACTACTACTACTGCTACTACTACTACTAGTACTACTACTGCTACTACTGCTACCACTACCACTACCACTACCACTACCACTACCACTACTACTGCTGCTACCACTACCACTACTACTACTACTACTACTACCACTGCTCCTGCTACTAATACTTCTACTACTATTACTACTAGCGCTAGTACTAGTACTAGTAGTAGTAGTAGAAGAAGTAGTAGTAGTACTAGTACTAGTACTAGTACTAGTACTAGTACTACTACTACTAGTACTACTACTACTACTACTACTACTACTACTACTACTACTACTACTACTACTACTACTACTACTACTACTACTACTACTACTACTACTACTATACTACTTCTGCTACTACGAACTTCCGGTTGCCAACGAGTATTCGCGTAGCCCCGGCGTAGCCCCCCGCGTAGCCACTTATCAACAAATATGTTCCGCGTAGCCTCCTCGTAGCCAAATTCCTAGGGGGAAAGACAGCCGCGTAGCCTCCGCGTGGGTATGTGCTTCCAGTGTATAGGCCCCACACCATTAAAAAAAACACGGCTCAATTGAAAGTTAGAGTCCTTGAAATGGTTTAGAGAAATATGATTAGAGACATATGTTCAATCCTTGAAATGGTTAGGCTTTGCTTATCCTTGAAAGAGACACCTAATTGCGTCGCCTGAGGTGGGCTCCGACGCGCAATTCCGGAGCCTTTGTGAGGCTTCGGAGGGGCAGGGCCCCGTTGTTCTAAGGTGTCGAAACGATGGATGTGTTTCTTTTTGTTGAGGGTACTTCTGTTTGGTTGGGTCTTTTTTGGATTTGTCTGATGGTACTTCTGTTTTGGTTGGGTCTTTTTTGGATTTGTCTGAGGGTACTTCTGTTTGGTTGGGTGTCATTTGTGGATTTGTCTGAGGGTACTTCTGTTTGGTTGGGTGTCTTTTTTGGATTTGTCTGAGGGTACTTCTGTTTGGTTGGGTGTCTTTTTTGGATTTGTCTGAGGGTACTTCTGTTTGGTTGGGTCTTTTTTGGATTTGTCTGAGGGTACTTCTGTTTGGTTGGGTGTCTTTTTTGGATTTGTCTGAGGGTACTTCAGTTTGGATGGGTCTTTTTTGGATTTGTTTGAGGGTACTTCTGTTTGGTTGGGTCTTTTTTGGATTTGTCTGAGGGTACTTCTGTTTGGTTGGGTCTTTTTTGGATTTGTCTGAGGGTACTTCTGTTTTGGTTGGGTCTTTTTTGGATTTGTCTGAGGGTACGTCTGTTTGGTTGGGTGTATTTTTTGGATTCGTTTGAGAGTACTTCTGTTTGGTTGGGTCTTTTTTGGATTTGTCTGAGGGTACTTTTGTTTGGTTGGGTGTCTTTTTTGGATTTGTCTCAGGGTACTTCTGTTTGGTTGGGCGTGTTTTTTGGATTTGTCTGAGGGTACTTCTGTTTGGATGGGTGTCTTTTTTGCATTTGTCTGAGGGTACTTCTGTTTGGTTGGGTGTCTTTTTTGGATTTGTCTGAGGGTACTTCTGTTTGGTTGGGTGTCTTTTTGGGAGTTGCCTGAGGGTACTTCTGTTTGGTTGGGTCTTTTTTGGATTTGTCTGAGGGTACTTCTGTTTGGTTGGGTGTCTTTTTTGGATTTGTCTGAGGGTACGTCTGTTTGGTTGGGTCTTTTTTGGATTTGTCTGAGGCTTCTTCTGTTTGGTTGGGTGTCTTTTTTGGATTTGTCTGAGAGTACTTCTGTTTGGTTGGGTGTCTTTTTTGGATTTGTCTGAGGGTACTTCTGTTTGGTTGGGTGTCTTTTTTGGATTTGTCTGAGGGTACTTCTGTTTGGTTGGGTGTCTTTTTTGGATTTGTCTGAGGGTACTTCTGTTTGGTTGGGTGTCTTTTTGAGGGTACTTCTGTTTGGTTGGGTCTTTTTTGGATTTGTCTGATGGTACTTCTGTTTGGTTGGGTGTCTTTTTGGAATTGTCTGAGGGTACTTCTGTTTGGTTGGGTCAATTTGCATTAGTCTGAGGGTACTTCTGTTTGGTCGGGTGTCTTGTTTGGATGCGTCTGAGAGTACTTCTGTTTGGTTGGGTGTTTTTTTTGGATTTGTCTGAGGGTACTTCTGTTTGGTTGGGTGTATTTTTTGGATTTGTCTCAGGGTACTTCTGTTTGGTTGGGTGTCTTTTTTGGATTTGTCTGAGGGTACTTCTGTTTGGATGGGTGTCTTTTTTGGATTTTGTTTGAGGGTACTTCTGTTTGGTTGGGTGTTGGGTCTTTTTTGGATTTGTCTGAGGGTACTTCTGTTTGGTTGGGTGTCTTTTTGGGAGTTGCCTGAGGGTACTTCTGTTTGGTTGGGTCTTTTTTGGATTTGTCTGAGGGTACTTCTGTTTGGTTGGGTGTCTTTTTTGGATTTGTCTGAGGGTACGTCTGTTTGGTTGGGTCTTTTTTGGATTTGTCTGAGGGTACTTCTGTTTGGTTGGGTGTCTTTTTTGGATTTGTCTGATACTTCTGTTTGGTTGGGTGTCTTTTTTGGATTTGTCTGAGGGTACTTCTGTTTGGTTGGGTGTCTTTTTTGGATTTGTCTGAGGGTACTTCTGTTTGGTTGGGTCTTTTTTGGATTTGTCTGAGGGTACTATTGCCTGAGGGTACTTCTGTTTGGTTGGGTGTTTTTTGGATTTGTCTGAGGGTACTTCTGTTTGGTTGGGTCTTGTTTGGATTTGTCTGAGGGTACTTCTGTTTGGTTGGGTGTCTTTTTTGGATTTGTCTGAGGGTGGGTGTCTTTTTCGGATTTGCCTGAGGGTACTTCTGTTTGGTTGGGTGTTTTTTGGATTTGTCTGAGGGTACTTCTGTTTGGTTGGGTCTTGTTTGGATTTGTCTGAGGGTACTTCTGTTTGGTTGGGTGTCTTTTTTGGATTTGTCTGAGGGTACTTCTGCTTGGTTGGGTGTCTTTTTTTGGATTTGTCTGAGGGTACTTCTGCTTGGTTAGGTGTTGGGTCTTTTTTGGATTTGTCTGAGGGTACGTCTGTTTGGTTGGGTGTCTTTTTTGGATTTGCCTGAGGGTACTTCTGTTTGGTTGGGTGTCTTTTTTGCATTTGTTTGAGGGTACTTCTGTTTGGTTGGGTGTCTTTTTTGGGTTTGTCTGAGGGTACTTCTGTTTGGTTGGGTGTCTTTTCTGGATTTGTCTGAGGGTACTTCTGTTTGGTTGGGTGTCTTTTTTGGATTTGTCTGAGGGTACTTCTGTTTGGTTGGGTGTCGTTTTTGGATTTGTCTGAGGGTACTTCTGTTTGGTGGGGTGTCTTTTTTTGGATTTGTCTGAGGGTACTTCTGTTTGGTTGGGTGTCTTTTTTGGATTTGTCTGAGGGTACTTCTGTTTGGTTCGGTATCTTTTTTGAATTTGTCTGAGGGTACTTCTGTTTGGTTGGGTGTCTTCTTTGGATTTGTCTGAGGGTACTTTTGTTTGGTTGGGTGTCTTTTTTGGATTTGTCTGAGCGTACTTCTGTTTGGTTGGGTGCCTTTTTTAGATTTGTCTGAGGGTACTTCTGTTTGGTTGGGTGTCTTTTTTGGATTTGTCTGAGGGTACTTCTGTTTGGTTGGGTGTCTTTTTTGGATTTGTCTGAGGGTACTTCTGTTTGGTTGGGTGTCTTTTCTGGATTTGTCTGAGGGTACTTCTGTTTGGTTGGGTGTCTTTTTGGGATTTGTTTGAGGGTACTTCTGTTTGGTTGGGTGTCTGTTTTGGATTTGTCTGAGGGTACTTCTGTTTGGTTGGGTGTCTTTTTTGCATTTGTCTGAGGGTACTTCTGTTTGGTTGGGTGTCTTTTTTGGATTTGTCTGAGGGTACTTCTGTTTGGTTGGGTGTCTTTTTTGGATTTGTCTGAGGGTACTTTTGTTTGGTTGGGTGTCTTTTTTGGATTTGTCTGAGCGTACTTCTGTTTGGTTGGGTGCCTTTTTTGGATTTGTCTGAGGGTACTTCTGTTTGGTTGGGTGTCTTTTTGGGATTTGCCTGAGGGTACTTCTGTTTGGTTGGGTGTCTTTTTTGGATTGTCTGAGGATACTTCTGTTTGGTTGGGTGTCTTGTTGGGATTTGTCTGAGGGTACTTCTGTTTGGTTGGGTGTCTTTTTGGATTTGTCTGAGGGTACTTCTGTTTGGTTGGGTGTCGTTTTTGGAGTTGTCTGAGGGTACTTCTGTTTGGTTGGGTGTCTTTTTTGGATTTGTCTGAGGATACTTCTGTTTTGGTTGGGTGTCTTTTTTGAATTTGTCTGAGGGTACTTCTGTTTGGTTGGGTGTCTTTTTGGATTTGTCTGAGGGTACTTCTGTTTGGTTGGCTGTCGTTTTTGGAGTTGTCTGAGGGTACTTCTGTTTGGTTGGGTGTCTTGTTTGGATTTGTCTGAGGGTACTTCTGTTTGGTTGGGTGTTTTTTTTGGATTTGTCTGAGGGTACTTCTGTTTGGTCGGGTGTCTTTTTGGGATTTGCCTGAGGGTACTTCTGTTTGGTTGGGTGTCTTGTTTGGATTTTGCTGAGGGTACTTGTGTTGGTCCAACGAGGAACCCGAAATCCTTTTTTTGGGGTTCCCTATTTTGAGACACACCAACATGCGTTGCATAACCAATCCCGTTTTGTGGACCCCCCAACTGTTGGTGGAAGCTGAGGCGTTTTTTCGAACTGAAGATCGGGTGTGGACCACAACTATTTATTCTGGGCGGAAGGATAGTGAATGATTGCCTCTTCGCCTTCAACACTACATTACATAAACATGCATATATATGCACATGCACATATATGTATACATGCAACCCCCCCAAGGCCCCGGTTTTGGTGCCTTTTAGTGACGATAAATCTGGAATCTAGAGATCTGACATTTCTATTTTTGGGCCGCCAAAGCCTCATTCTTTGGAGCCCGGAGTCCTCCGATGTGTCCCAATATGATATCCTTTCCAAATATGATTTTACTTTAACTAGAATTGGAATCTTGAATATAATCTAGTCAGGATATAGCTACTTTTTCAACATGTGTTTGTGTGTCCCAAACATAACTTATATAACCAAATCCTTTCCAAATAGGAGTTACATGTACAAGTAAATATGACTTTGGGTAAAGTCCAACCATTTTTTTTAACAAAATACATTAGATAGGAGTTTCTTCCTAAGTATAGCTTAAGTGTCAAATATAATCTAATATAAACATAATTCAACTAGCTTTTGATAATAACCACTGATTATATACTTATTTTCTCAAATATAAGTCATACTAAATGTGGCCAAACATTTAAGGGACTTCTACAAGGAAGTTCGAAGTACGATTTGTGTCATTTACATTGTGGCCTTTGCGTGGCATAAGAAAGGTCCTTGTTAGACGGTGTTCCAAACTAGAAAGCTCAAGGGATTAGAGGTTCAAATTCTGAAACTATCTCGAAACAGGGATTCTAGCTAAATAAGTTGTATTTACAGTCTTATTTGGACAGCAAATCACAATTCATTCTATCTCAAAAGGCGGAGGCAGTAGATGATGAGCAGAGGTGGACAGGTAGTCCGGGCTGGGGGGCGACGGTGTGTGAACATATTGTATGTATATATATATATACATATTTGTACACGTTACACATACATACATACATACATACATACATATGAATGTATAGTACCTCTCATAATCCTGCGCCTCTTCATAAATGCCCGTTCAGGTCGCCTACGTTGCGTGAATCAAGTTCGGACACTTGCAAGGCTGCAAGTGGATGCAAGTGGCTGTAAGTGGCAGTGGGCTTTCTTGCGGCCGCCAGTGGCCAGGTCTGTTGTGCGATGCTGGGCGTTGCTGGTGATGCTGATGATGCTGGGGGTCCCTTCTCCCAGGTCTGCTGGGCATGCCGATGATGCTGAGCCCTGTTTGCCGCACAAGAACTGTTTAAGTTTTTGCGGCCTGACCTTGGAAGCTCGACACGACAGATTTCAGAACGTGCGGGACTCGGCCAATTTGTGTCACCTTGTTTGTTTTGAAGGTTTGTGCTGCATGCGCCATCTGGAGAAGCCAGTCAAAAGCCCACGAGTGGCATAGGAGCATGTGCGTGTTGTGCGGATGAGCTTCTGTTGGCGACAAGACATGTTGTGAGAGCTTTGTCCAATACGCAGCAGTAGCAGGTTTACGATCTTGGAACTTGGGTGCCTCTCTTCACGAATAAATTGCTACAGCCTTGCGGCCGCAGAATCTTGGGCTGCGGAGCGGGCAGAGCTGGCCTGTAGGAGCGCTCTGCTTCGTCACCTGCAAGGCGGTGGCAGCCTTTGGCAGCGTGGGGCATGGTCAATAACCAGTAGGGCCAGCGCCAGTTTGGATCGTAGCTCATATTCTTCACTGATGAGCTGCGGCCCTGGTAGAATCAAGCCTCAACGGGCTTTGGGCGCAGGTCATTTGGCGTTGAAACGATGAGCGCGTGAATTGTTGGGAGCGTTTTAATGTTTGCAATGCCCAGCTAGACCCAAACCGCAGAAACTCGCTTCTCTGTCTTTACGCGGAGCGTTCGAACCCACTTAGCCCCCGCGCCAGGTTTGGTGGACAACCCTCACACGGCCAGGGTCGGGCGCTTAAATGGTTTTCTTGCTCCGGTTTCCTTCTTGAGCCAGCCCCGAATAAGACCATCTGCCGAAGATCGCCCTCCCTGGCAGCTGAGGTTCTCTTCTCGCCGTGCAGGCGGTTGTGGCAGAGCTGGATGGCTCGAAGCCCAGTCAAGTGGTTGGGCTGTTGTTAACCATTAATCGCGGACACAATGCCCCTGCAGCAGCATCCAAACATGTCGACTATGACTAATCTGAAGCATCCTCTTGACCAAGTTCGTGATTTTGGGCGCAGCCGCGGGAGAAACTTGAGTTTGAAAAAGCTGCGCTGTCTACCGAGACGGGGCGCTACACCATGTACGTTGCGAACAAGCAGGTCACAAGCGGGCTCAGATGGGGCCCCGCCACTTGTTGCTTGTGGCTGTTTCAGAGATTTCGCCGCCAGGAAGGGGAAGCCCCAGCGCTGGGCCAGGCACGCGTATTGAAGCCAAGGGGACCAAGGGACACACACACACACACTCTTGAAAAACACAGGGAAAGAGACATGCCTGATTGCGGAGAAACGGAGGTATCATGGGCGCTTGCGCAGGCTGCCACGGTGGGACAAGTGCATCCGCGTGCTTGCGCTGCAGCGTGCGGAGTCGCCGCGAACCTTTTTTTGCGTCGAGCAGTCCTGTTTGAAGAGAAGAGCTGAGAAAGATCACGAAACAGATGTCAAAATACGAGCGCTTTCGCAGTTAGTTTGAACACCCTCATGTTGCCCGGCAGATTTTCAGGGGAGCGGAAAGATCCATGTTCAATTTGGCCAGCTGTCATGAAAAGATTGCAGTTTTTGCCATATCCCTACTCCGGGAAAGGGCGTTTGTCGACTTCAGCCCACCGTGCCAGACGGAGAAACTCGCTGTCAACAACGTCCGCGACTTTCTCTAAGGAGAGGAGGTGCGCTAACCTCTCTCTCTCTCTCTCGATTGCGCTGGCTAGCCCGCAAACCCCCCCTGCTTCTCCCCCACTCGCAGGCTCAATGCCAACCTCAAACGCAACAAGTACGAGTTGAGCTGTTGAAATTCTGTCCCCACCAAATCCCACCCACAGCCTCCACCGGCGAGCGCCACTTGCGCGCGCATGCTTATACCAACGTTCCACCAAACATGTTTTTGGTTTAATCAATATTTGACTGAAGGTCGGGCGAGCCTGAGTCAGAAACGGGTCCCAAAAAAGACCCTCCAAAAATATTAGTTGTGTTGATTCCCGGCTAGCAAATATCTCGGCTGGGGCGACCACTGCGTTGCACAAGGCGCAAATTGCGCAAATTGTGGACTGCTTCGAAAGCCCGCTGATTTCTTCAGTTCAAAAGCCCGCGGATTTCTTCTCGGATTGCAGCTGATCTGTCACTAGCGAAGCAGCCTTGTCGACGCGTGTGACGATCTCGGTGCCTTGCAAGGAGCCCTTGCAGAGCAAATGACAACTTCTGATTCAAACGTCACAGTCCCCCAACAATAAAGGGAGCCACACGCCGACACACGGGCAAATAGCCGCATACAGAGCCTTTTGAATGGTCCTGGCCAACCCTCAAAAACTTTCAAGTTGTTCTAAATCCCGGATATCATTTTGCCATTTAAGTACCGTTCACAGAAAGCTTTTCAGAGAACCTTGTCCTCTCACTTTAAATCCAGCCATTGTGGGAACTTGGAGGATGGCAGATAAAATGCATATGACTGCAGATGGGTGCGCATACTTGGCTGCAGAAGTATGTATTGAAAACCTAGAGTTTTGGGACAACTGGAGCCTTTTAAGATTCTTAAGCATTCTGGAATTCAAGAAAAATCGCTCAGGTTCTTGAATCTTTAATCCAATATTTTTCAAATGTTTAACAATATCAGCGTTGTCCCAATAGTCTGAGCTGCATGCAGACTCTGTCAGATGGTGTATATATATATACATTTATAGGTATATTACACATATATATATATATATATATACATCTATATGTATGTACAAAATGGACGAGGCAACAAAATGCACAAAATACTGGAAAACACAGCTCAAGCTCACCAAACCAGGGTCCATGAGTGGGGGTACTTTTTATTTGTTCATTAGAATGATGATAGGTAGGACTCACGTCAGTCCGAGTTTTGGGTTTCAACTGTGGCACAGACTCCAGCTTTGTCGCAATTTCAGTGAGGCGAGACGAACAAATGGTCCCTAATTGGCACTAAACTGGGCAGGGTTTCCTGGGACTTAAACGCTCCTTTCCGACAAGACCTGCTGCACTTCCCCACCTTACGTGGCAACCTCCTGAGGATGGTTACTTGATTTGTTGTTGGTAGGGCGATGCCTCAGGAAAAATACAAAGACCCTCTTCGTTGCCCACTGTCTGTCGCTGCAAAACATTCCTGTCGACAGGTCCGTGTTTGAAGGCACTGATCTCAGTTAGTAGTTGGCCACCTACTGTCCAAATCGACACCTAGATTCCCGTAAAATTGTTGCATTGGCACCTGATCCACAATCAACATCTGGGTAGATTGAGTATGATTGTGATTCATTAGGTGGTCACTTGTGCAGTCTAAGCCTTCGCATGTTGATCTCCTTTTTTGAACCAACAAAGGGTTAGTCATTTGATTTCCCTGTGGGCAAGGAAGAGCCTCGCAAGTCCCTCCAAACACAAACGGGCCACAGGTCCTGGGAGACCCCGTCCTGGCCGTCCCGCGCTTCGCGCGGAACGAAGACCGCGTAGCACACCGCCAGGCGCCGAATTCGTCGCATTCGCGGGGGTTGGAACTTGGAACGGCAGGTTTCGAGGTGGGGGAGGCTAAACATGTGGTTACTTTTTCAAGCTTATAGACTTGTAGGCCGGGTCTTACAGATGGTTTTGCCTGGGGAGGACAATTTGACATTTTGTTTTGGGGTGATGGGATGTTGGAGGAACACAATATTGCAAAGCCTGAAGTGGGGTGGTTTGGCACAACATGCTTTGCTTACGGTGGTTGTGTGATGCTTAGCCAGCTTGAGACTACTCGCTGGCGCTCAGCAAGAAATGAGGAATGACCATATTCAATCCCTTGCGCTTTGATTTCGGGACCCCCCTAAACCGCTTCATTCCCCACACCCGGGTTCCGGGTCAGCCCCTATCGCTCCCACTGGAACGTCCGTTCGAGTGGAGGAGCTGCTGGATCTGCTGGCCATGGCCATCCGCGCTTGGCGCCGGGAGGATCTGCTGCGGGAGCTGCAGCGCCGTAAGGCGCGCTTGGCGTCCGGTTTTGGTTTTGGTCCCGGGTAGTGCACGCTGCACGCATCAACCTTAGGTTGGTGGCTGGAAGAGGACGTGTAAAAGGGACATGGACCTCTGGTGCCCTTGTTTCCTCCTTTGGGGGTGTTGTTTTGAAAGCTGGGGGGGTCTTTGCCCAGGTAGGCTCCGGGGTGGGGCGCTCTGGGGTAGGGTTCCGAGGTTCTGAGAGGGTTCCGGGAATGCACCGAGGTTCTGGGACGGTTCCGAGGGTTGCGGGGTAGCATCCGTGCTGCTGTTCCGACTTCTGGAGAGGAGTGCGCGCAAATGTGTCTCATGCTGTTGGGGCTATCCCCTGAGGCTTATTGTGGCTTATTTGTTGGTCGTCGAGTGGGAGTAGACGGGGGGGAAGAGGGGGAGACGGGGGTGGGGGTGGTCGGAGGGTGAAGGTAGATCTTATTCGAAACTTGGCCCAAACGAGCTGCCAGATCGAGCGTGCCGGGAACAACTATCGCTTCTCGGTATTTGCGCCATGGTCTAGACAAACAGCTGACATCCTAATCCAACATCATATTTAGTTGTATAGCAATTTTGCTGCCCAATCTCGTCACGTCGTACATCATGTGGATGGTCTAGAAACCCACTCTTGGTTTCCGGTATGGGGCAGCCTATGCGCGGATGCACGTGCCCAGTTATTCGGTGATGGCCTTAAGGTTTTTTTTCAAAACCTGTCGGCTCCATGCAAATATTGGCAACCCCTCGTGGCAGGTGTCTCCCCAGAAAAACTTGACAGGTTGCTGTCCTTGTAACTCTCCTTTCAACATCAACCAAGGGTTATGCTTCATGGTCATTCCTCATGGTTGAATACTGTTTATTTACTCATGGGTGTATGGGGAATATATGCTTCATGGTTGGACCTGACAACCCGCCCAAAAGATGCCCACCAAAGGGTTCCCACTGGCGCGAGGTTCCTTGCGGCGCGATTGCCGACATGGCGGCGGTATTCGACACGGAGCAGGCCCAGGTGCGGATGGCGGGGGGGATGGCACTACGGTGGATGCCCTAAATGGGTGCGTCTTTTTTTGGGGGGTTTTGACCGCCTTTTTTTCAGGTGAGGTTTAAAGGGAAACCAACGGGACAATACAATTTTCAATCACTGCCAAATATTGCAAGTAAACCTATTAATGATGCTCAACCTCTAAGCTACGGTAAATCACAGTAGACTTGAGGATTTCTTGTTTCCCTTGCGTTCAATGTTAGGCATCCATCGCTTAGCGCCTCCCTCTTCTCGAAACTCTGCAGATGCTTTGCCCAAAAGGTCGGTCCTCAGCCCCAAACGGCTTGTGCCCCAGTTGTAGGGCACATATTATTTGGCAGATTGGCATAGAGCCCCAATAATCTCTATATCTAGAGAGAGAGAGAGAGAAATATCCGTATATGTGGGTGAACTATCACGGGATCAGTTCACTCAGCAGGTGAAAGTACTTCGCTCAAGTTATCAGAGCTGGTTTTCTCTTTGCTCTCTGAATATGTTTCGAGTTCCAAAAGGAAACCAGCCAATATTAAGGCAGAGTTCTTGGTGTTTTCCTGGTGTCTGCCTGGCCGCTCTGCAGGCACTGGTACTGCGAGACGAAGCTGGCAGCGCCGCGGGCTTGCGCCAGGCCTGTGGTCGGAACTGGTGCCAAGTCCGATGAGATGCAACTGAAACCCGCCGCAATATACTTTTAGCTGCTTGAAGACCTAGCCGCAACTTTTCTTCTGGCCACTGCCGTCTTCCACTGTTTGCCCGTAGTTTTGCTCGAGCCGCGCCGCGATCCAACGGAGTCTGCTAGGGATTTCGTCAGTCGCCATGTCCCCCCGAGCAGCAGACGCTCAGCCTGAGCAGCAAAGCTGGTGCACCAGGAGCCGCCTGATTCCGCTGATCCTGGGCTTGCTGTGCTTGATTGCCACCCAGTTGCCCAGTGCAGCCCTTTTTTCCTTGTTTTGGGGAAAGATTCCCCTTTGAAGTCAAGCAACCAAAAAAAGATGCCCCTTTTTTCCCATGGCCACTGGGCATCTGAGGCCATCATCGTAGGCATTGCCGTGGCCGTGGCCAGCGCCAATCATGGCTCGGGCCCTGCTCCCCCACCGCTGCCGGCTGGTCCGGTGCGGGGGGTGGCGTATGCCCCGCTGCCATGCACCATGGACGCGCCCTGCAAGGAGAAGCTGCCCAGTGAGGACGTCATGCTGCCTGGTTACGCAGCCCAGTGGGGCCCGAAGGGCCGCAATGACCTGGAGGTCATCCAGAAGTTGGGTGCCAATGCGGTCCGCATGTACAACTCCCTGGGCTACGATGGAGACCACGGCGCCTTCCTGGACCGAGCTCACTCCCTTGGCCTGAACGTGATGCCGGGCATCGAAACCAGTCTGGCACTCTACAACTGCACCAACTTTGACTGCTACGACACTGTCAAGAAGGTGATGAAGGATGGCTTTGCCCAGGGCTTTGCCAAGGACAAGCAGTGGCACCCTGCCGTCCACTTGGTGGTTCTGCTGAATGAGCCAGACTTCTTGGTGAACGACCCTCGCTGCCCGGGCAAAGCCGCCTGGTGCCGGGTGAAGGCGGTGCTGTCTGCCCTGGACGGCTTTCTGGCAGCTGAGAAGGAGGCGGGCATCCAGCCTGGCCGAGTCAACCTCACCACCACCTGGTCCTTCTCCGTGGCGGATTCCATCGACGGAAAGTGCAAGAAGTGCCCTGGCTACTTCGGCTTCCAGGACATGCTGGCGGTGATGAAGGATCCATCCCTTGCCAAGTACAAGCTGAAATCGAGCGCTGCAGAGGTGGCGGATGCGTTCGACAAGAGGTGGGTCAATGGGGTGAACGTGCATGACCCGTGGAGCTTTGTCAAGGACACCATTGCTAAGAACTACGCGCCCTTCGGAAACAAGCCTTGGTTCATCGGCGCCTTTGGAGACCTGAGTCAGCCCCACGAGATTCTGAAGAATGACGTCAAGGCAATGCACGAGTATGCCTCCAACTCCAGCCTCTTCTTGGGCGCCACGGTTTTCGAGTTCCAGACGGCGTACTTCAAGGGAGGCACCGAAATGAACTTCGGTATGTTTGGCCTGGGCAAGACAAAGATCGGGGACGCAGATGTGTGCGACCAGCAGGGCGCCTGCGGCAAGTGGCCAGTCTACTGCCTGGAGACCAACCTGACTTGGGTGCCGGCTGACCAGGCTCATCGCGCGGAGGCTGTGGCGGCTGCATGGGGCGGCAAGGTCACTGGCCTTTGCAGCAGCACTGTGAGCACAGAGCCGGAGATGCGGATTGTGGTCTGAGCTGTGTGCGGCTAGCATCAGCAACAGACTAGCCCAGCGTAGCTGTGAAGCTCAACTGGCTACCCAGAGGAATCTAAGCCCATACATCTGATTCCATAGCGGCAGCACTTTAACATCCGCACTGGACTTGTTTTTTTCCCCCAGTCCCGCCATGGAAGCGCGGCCAAGGCTGTGTAGACCATATTAGGACCTTCAATATGTTCAATGGTTGTCTTAGGCCATTTGGGCCACTTGGGCAATATGGCTTGGGGAGTAGTGGGCAGCTTAAAGACTGGAAATATCCGAAGGTCCTTGCTGAACACGCCGGGCTTGCAAAGGAAATCCGTTTTCCATGGCTAGCGGGGCGGAATGCTGCCTTGAAAAGGCTTGCTGTGCTGTTAGTGCTGTTAAGTCGTTTTGCCAAATAATACAAAAAAGTCTCGCGGCATGCGTGAGAGCAGTTCGATCCCATGTTTGGGAATGCTGGATTTGTTTTGCCCTGATGTTTAGTTTGCTCATGTTTGCATTCAGGTTCCTGGCCTCTATCAGGCTTCTACTGAAGCTTTCTCCGCAGAGACATGTTCAGCAATGGGAATGGGGTCTTGCCAAGGGTGCGAGCCAGTTTCCGAGCAGGATGGTTTTGATCGGGGGTCAAGTCAACAGAGTCCTTTGGGACAGGTCTCTTTTGAGTTCTGCCCCAACTGCTTTTGCCGGGCACCCTTCAGCCGGGCCTGAAAGTGAAAGGCCATGTGTCCGAATCTAGTTTTGGTTTGCCTTTAGTCGCCGTCCGAAAAGCGTCCCCCCATTTGCAGAACATGGCAATTTTTGCAACCATCGCGGTTTCTCAAGTTTCTCTTTGGGTCTCCAGCCGTTTTACAGGCCTTCCCAAAGGTGGTGCCCTCAAACGTGGGACCCAACTTGCGTGTTTCCTTTTGGTTTCCGTAGCACCCGGGTTTCGGGACACCTCCCCAAGGCTTAGGATTTCTCAAGTTGCACCTGCGAGGAAGCGAGGCAAGTCCCGTACCGAAGCCAGGCCGCTTGGGACCGAGCAGCTCCAACGATGAGACCAGCTCCAGGCGGGGGCAGAACAGGAGGTGCGGACTAAATCCACGCCCATTGGCTTCAGATGGAAACCTATGAGTACGGGGAGAAGCCTACGATATTTTTCGCCCAGATTGCACCTCTTTGGACCTTGAATTGGCCTCACATGGCTGTTTTCACAGGTAAGGCACAGGCGGAACAGGACCGTGAGACCAAAGAGAGCGATTCGTAGAGCCAGAAAGTGGGACCCACCTGAGATTTGTTAACATCATACACCTATTCGCCTATTGGGGTCTAATTGTACAGACAATTTGTGCAGCCAAAAGAAAGATTAGTCAGGAGCTGCAACTGATATTGCCCAAATATATTTACAACCGTTCTGGGAAGCCTTGCAATGATCGAATCTTGGGGTCATATCAATATCAGGTTCCCACTGGGTTCAAGTCAGGCCCCTTGCCAGAGTTTCAGACGCTTCCCCTTGGTATCTCTGAGGCTTTGGGCAGCATTCGGTCGAGATCCTCACCCAGGACGCAACGGGAAGGTCACTTCTGTGATACCAGGGAAGTTGCTTTTTCAAAGCAAAGAATTAGCGGGAATGTCTACCAGTGGTATCAGTGGGTATGTCCTACAAGCCTGCAGCTCCTCCCTTGCGCATTAGAGCAAGGGTCACCTCACCACACAGCAACTGCCGGATGCCTTGCGGTTCTGGGGTCTGCGGGACTTCAGACGAAAATCGAACTTGCCCCGCGGGCGCAGCTTGTAAGTTGTCAGTGAACACGCAAGTGACAGGGCCGGTCATTTGCTCCCTTCGTAAACGGATAATGAGCGCCTGTCTGGTAGGAGCCTTCTCGGTTTCATGTCAGTTTAGCTTGAGTTGATTAGGAATGTGCTCAACGTGCCAGATGCGTCAGGTGTCTTGTTGTGGGCCAGATTCCTTTCGGGCAGAGTGGTGCTGATCGGGAACGCATGTTGTTGTTAATATGCAGTAAAAGGGATCTCTCTTTTTGGACAGAGGGCCTACATGAAGCCGGTGTGACCACCTGTTGCCCAGTTGTGTGTTCGCGCTCGGTTCCAATGACCTTTCATGTTGTTGAGCAGCAGGTTGCATGCTGCTCTGTTTTATGCTTGCAGGAACAGGGTCCGACAACACAAGCTTGGCACGGAGCCCTTCCGCCAAATACCTGACTCCAGGACCTCAGTTCCTCAAACATCGCTTGCAAACATGGACTCCACCAAGCCTGCCATAGCTTTGTCAGCACCAATGCCCCGACCTGGCCGATGCCATTCCCTGAAGCACGGAATTCAGGAAGGAGGTGACGGAGATGGCCCGGAATTATGTTGTCCATTCCCTTTTGGAGAATTATTGTGCAACATGAACATGGAACTCAGTTCCTCAAAAAGCGAGTTTCCTGCCATCTTGATATGTTACATGCTGAGCTTCATGTCAATCTGGAGAGTAGATGACTGGAACTGGCCCCCCCCCCCCGTCCTCTAGCGGGCCGGGGGGTGGCAACAGGACCTGGAGCTAGATGCGCAGGAGGTGCAGAGGAGTCTTGGCTGAGCATTTGTTTCCCAAGTTCCAGCTCTACTTCCCTCGGCAAGTTCCTTGACAGACGCATCCCCAACCAATGTGGAAACACATATACATGTCTAATGCATGCCTGTTTGCGTGCATGTAGAATGGTGTATACATGATGGACTTTGCGAAGCAATAACTTGGGTTCGCGATGGCCGTTTGCAGAAACACGGAATGAACAATACCCACCATGCCCTCAACAATCTAGCTGTTTGGTCAAGCCCGCGTTGCTTCTCAAAGGAAATGGTCGAGGTTTGGCAATTTGACAGGTTGTTTTTAGGGATGGCATCCATTGCTCGCAGGTGAATGTCGTGCAACGATGTACCATCAGGAGTCAAAACCACACCTAGAACTCAGCATGTACAGTGCGCGCTGACACTTAGCTCGGTATTTGGCTCTGTGCATTTTTGGCACAACGCCCATCCTTTATTATGCAACACGGTGAAATCAGAGAGCAGCATTTCCTTCTGGATGTCTGCGTGCCTAATTGCAAACTACAGTTTCGGAAATGTACCCCTTTCACCCGTTCCGAAGCAGCCAGCTGTTGTTGTTCATCCAACTTGCTGCCGTCAGGTTGCTCGATGCCGGCGTCATCCTCGCCCCATCCCGGTAAGAGACCAAAAGCGGACGCAAGCGCCGCCGCGGGAGGGCGTCTGAGGGAGGACGTTTCGCCTAGGTGTGACCATGTTTGCTCAAACTCACCTACTGACTGACCGTTTTGCCCTTTGCCCTTTTGGGTTTCCTGGATTTCCCAATTCAATCGCCAAAAAGTCAGCTTTCGAAGGTATCTGAGGCTGGACAGGCAAAACGCGGCCAGAAGGACAATTTGAAGCTGGCCAGTTTGAGGGGTCACCCATTTTGCTCGAAATGCCCATATATGCATTGGCACTGACCTCAGTGGTCGTCAATCGTCAAAGTCCTCTGTTTGCAAGGGCAAAGAAACGATACTCGGAGTTGGACTACCAAAGCAGGTGCCATAATGTGATGCTGCCAGAACATGTCATCTGGCAGAGGCTGAAGATTTCACGAGGGAAGAGGAAGACTGCTTGCAGGCCAACATTTGTTGTGTCACTGGTTTCCTCTCTCTATGCAACACCTTGCCGCAGCTGAAGAGGCATTTGTTAGGGGTCTTCATATTTCGATCATTTACAGGGAAAGAAGCCCGGCAAGCTCCTGTCAGCTTTCAAGATTAGAAGGGAGTACTTTGGCTGCCCATTGAACCGTTGATTTTGCTTGTGAAGATAAGCCCATTGTGTTTGGCCTACTGCTGAATATTCAACCAATCAAACAAGTTGCCTTTCCCCAATTTTGGCCACTGGCCGTCTGCCAGTCACCTCGCCGGGAAACCCACGCAGGAAGCAGCTCTACCCGCTCATGCCGGCGGGCAAGTCGGCCGCGGCGGCCGCGGCCGCGGCCGCTTCCGCGGTATGAGAGTCACGTGGGCAGTTTGAGAGTCCGCCCAGGCCGAGGGTCGACGCATCCGTCGACGCGTAAGTTGGAGACATTGCTAGAACACATATATACACACATAATGGGTACATACACATGTGTGAATTTGTTTATACACACATGCAGGACATGTTTGCATGGATATACATATATATATATATACTGTACATATACATATGTTACTGCATGTAGGTATAATAATGTACAGAGAGAGGGTGCGTGCAGTATGATACGTCTATGAATACACAATATCTTTGCACTGCAGATTCACAGGGAACACAGGTTGGACAAGCACAGGTTCCATGCATATTGAGACAATTGTTGATTGAGATGCTTGCATGCTGATGATCAAATGCGGGAACAATGAGTGCTAATCCCATTTAAATTGGCCAAGTAGCTAGCCAAGTAGCGCATAGAGCCGGTCGTAGTATTGGTCTGGGGATCCCCGATTTTCTCTTGAGACGGTTGTATGTGTATGCAGTCGAATTTGACTGACAAAAATATTGGGCATAATCCTTTGCTGGTGAGCATGCAGCGCAGCTCTAGAGTAGAAGCTATGCCGGCTGTTTTATCGAACTTGCAATATGTCACGATGTGGTTGCCTCTCCGTTTTCTCAGTTGCAGCCACCACCGGGCATTGGCCGAGACATTGCGGTTTCCTCCTTTTGAGTCGTCTTGGTTTTGGCAGAGGACGCTACCTTAGCCATGATGTCGATGCAAACCTAGGAGCAACGTCATGTTAAACATAAAGCTAGCAGACACCTTGGCAAGTTTCCTAGTATAGTGGCAGCTGGAATCACTGGGCCACGTTTGACGTGAGCTAATGTGCCCGCCAAAGTCTAACCGCTTTCGACCCAGGGCCGCTGGAGGTTTCCGAAAACGTCGGCTCTTCTCACCCAGCCGGTGAGTGAGAGTGAACCAACTGTGTCTACAACTCTGTGATTGTCCATGAAATTGAGAAGAATCATCAATTCCTCAACAATTCAAGGGTAAACAAAGAGAATGGAGACACTCCGCTGGGTGTCTCGATGGCCGCCCAACTGCGCTTTAATATGTCCCCCCATCGATCGCTTCGGACGTTGGCTCACAAAAAAAAGCCGCCCGCGTGGGTCAGGGCTGCAAGGTGTCAGACTCTATTCCAGACCTGGAGCTTGCGGCCTGGACAGTCTTTGTCCTTGGCATTGGCTTCGGGGATTGCCCTTAACTCCGCAGCCGAATGGAACTCTCCATGTTCCCAGAGATTGTCACCTTGTGAACCCGCACGCAGCAACTGGTATCCAGATTCCCTCTATAGATGTAAGACCACGCCAACATGTCGTTTCGTTCCACGAGTGTTTCAGAATGCCGGTGTTGTCCGCTATGTTTGTGAAACCACCCCTTTCCGTTGTTGTTAATGCGTGTGTCACACAATAAATGTTTCCTCTTGTTTAGAGGCTTGTCCATCCAAGTTTGGTGGGTTAAGGCTGCACTGAAGCCTTTGTTTGTCCGACAACAGGGATGGAGTCGTCTAACACTTGGCGGAGGCCCTGACGGCGAAAGCAGCGCGAGCTGCTTATGTTGAATGCATCTGAGCCACCGCACCCTCAAGATTGCTCGATTCGGCCAGAAACCGCTGGATAAGGAGGTTAGAACGGGCAAGGGTGTGCATCTTCATGTTCATGAATTGATTTTTGCAGCATCTCCACCTAAGCACTTCAGCTCAGTTGGCTCCACGCTGCCTTTATCACCAACCAGGAACGATCTGTCCGGGTGCTTCACCTCCCCTTGAGATATTCCGCTTGGGGCATCCAGCTGGCATGTTCCAATCCATTCGCGCCTTTCCGGCTCAGACCAAATCGCCCGCTTGTTGTTTTTCAAAGCTTTACCAAGGATCGATTTAACCCAGAGCTTCCAGCCGGAATGCACTTCCACGAAATTAAAATTGCTTTGCACAGCTTAATCATAGAGCTTCAGGTGTCCTTGCTCTGCGATGGTTTCAGTTTAAGCCAGAGTCAAGAACACCTCATGTCACGGCGTGTGCTGGGCTTGCCCGGCGCGGGCAAGTGGTGTTTGCACTTCTTGGCAACTTGTAGCAGCTTATCATGTGTTTTAGGTTTTTGATTTGTTGACGATGCTCATGTGTTTACCGTTTCTGCTTCGCAGTATTGGACCGCACTGTCATTCAACTGTCCCACAGAGATGGCCGGTGGCATGCCACCGGAGTTCCCACGTGGCATGCTCATAGGCGCAAGCGCTGTGGCTTCAGCAATCTCGGGGAGAACCTTTTCTTGGGGATTCCTGGTTCTAGGCTTCGGATTGTCGCAGCTTGCATATATACATATATGTATATATGTATATATGTATATATGTATATATGTATATATGTATATATGTATATATGTATATATGTATATATGTATATATGTATATATGTATATATACAACTTATTGGTCGATGTTGTGTTGTGTTTGTTGAGTTGTTTGCATGCCCCCCGCAATGAACGGTGTTTGGTCTTTGTAAACAGCTCTTAGTGAATGTGATAAGGAAGCTTGCCGGCAGGAAGGGAATCTGCATTTGTTGTGGGCGCTGGGTCTACTTACCACGGAATGGAGGAATGGAGGAATGGAATATGTTAAATATGTTGTTGTTTGCGCAGCGCGACTTGGGAGAGATGGAGAGAGAGCGAGAGAGAGAGAGAGAGAGAGAGAGATAGATAGAGAGAGAGAGAGAGAGAGGGAGAGAGGGAGAGAGAGAAAGCGAGAGAGATGTGGCTTATTGCTGGTGATAAGTTGTTTCTCCAGTTTGCGGGTTGGCGGGGGTTCTTGGTTATGATATGTGCCAAGCCTGATTCTGATGCTTGAATTCTCGGCGAGTTTCAGCGAGCTCTGGTTTGCCCTTACCCTTGCTTCACTTTTCGTAGAACATCATTGCAGGTTGCGGAAGTACCATAAACGACTGAGTTGAAATACGTGCCAAGTTGTTCCTCGACGGTTTATCGATTGCGCGAGATCCATGGCGGACTTCTCAAATTTGCACCCGGCTCCAATTTGCCACGGTCTTCTCCCGTCCGGGCGAGCCGAGCTCAGGTTCACCCCGGGACCTAGTGGCCCAGAGAACCCTCACGAAAGAGATATTTCTCGGGCACCCGGGACGTAATCCGAGGCGAGGCGCTGAGATCTGGGTGCACATCAGGCCTGTTCTATGTTCGTAGGCTATGCGGCTCAGCTAATTCCAATGTTTCTTTTGAATGTTACAGTCTCCCTCCCACAAAGACCAGTAGTCTTTGAAGAGAATCAGTTTCTGCCTCCCTGGCGGGACCAACCTTTGAGGTGCTAGAATTGTGGCCTGTAGCATGTTCTGCAATACTACCCTCCCACAAAAAACAACGGGTTTCAGTGAAGCATTCGCCTCCCCCCCCCTCGCCATGGAAGTTAACCCAGGCCCGAACTGAGCGGATCCAGCCAAAAACAAATCTGCGAATTGAGGTTGCGCTGGTGTCCCTTCAAAGCTGTTGTTTGCAGGTGCCGTTTCGTGTGACATCTTGTCACAGAATTCTTCCTTGTGGAGGTTCCTGAAGTTTATGGAGTTTCAGGAACCCTAGAAAGGTGACGGGCGACCACCAAACGCGGACCCCCCCTCAGCGAATCGAACTGCAGATGAGTTCGTGCGGCCGGTGCACGCGGTGCATTCGGGAAGCGCACAATCACCGGCCAGCAAGAGGGACGAGCAGAGGCGGGGGGAACCCCCAAAGAGGGCACGGCACCCCTACTAGCCATAGGCCCATGGGTCTTATTGGCATGAGCCTCTATTGGCCACAGACATACCCTGTTGGGCAATGGAAACCAACTGAAATGGACAGAGGGCGATTTTGAGATGCTGGTATTCCACCACCCTCCAGCTTATTATGTTTGCTGTGACTGTTGGAAAGAGAAGTAAGAACAATCAGGTCCAGCTAGGGCCTCAGCTAAGTGAGCTTGATTGAGGATAGACGAAAGGAACCAAAGTCAAGCGTACTCAGACAAACCAGGGCTATAACAAGAATACAACCATGATCCCTTTGCCCTGTTATTAAATCATGCCCCCCCCTCCCTTGAACATTTGTTTTCAGGAGGAAACCGTCCCAGGACGGTCCGCTACGCCTTGCCAGGCGCAAAAACCGTCAAAATCGTGCCGAGTAAAGAGCTTACATGAGGTTGTTCAAGACACTTTTTTGTTGGGATTCAAAATAAAGAGGCGGAATCTGGATTGCAATTTACAATTTGAGCTCACAATTAAAAGAAGGGGAGTGCTGAAAGCACCACCTAATGAGAGCTATCAGGAATTAAGTATTGGGTTAGTATTGGATGAATCAACAATTCAAAGGAGAGGAGTCGCATTAGGGGCGATTTCACTAATAGAATAGGAGCAGATTATGTGTTTGGATGGGTAGTTGTGATCCCATGGTAGCCCACATTCTGTTTGCGTTAGGTGCCCTTTGAGATCAACCCATCCAACCCAAAAGGGCGTCCCTTCATAGCAATCCACTGGATCCGGACGAGCAACAAAGGCACTGGCCAGAGTTCCGCGACCCTTCGTACCTCAGTTGCTACAGGCTAGAGTGATTTACTTTAATGAGATTGAGAACACATACTCACACCCAGTTGGAGTTTTGAACTGGGTAGTTTACTCACCCAGTTTCTACCATGTTAAAGGGGGACACAACGAAAGATGAACCCTTCCGATATCCTTGTCTGGATGATCGGACACACGTTTGAGTTGTTTGTTGGACCCCTAACATAGTTAGCAACAATGCAGACCTTATGACGGATCACAATATCTGTCAAACATAGTATCTGTATTTTGAATTGCACCCAGCGTTGCACTGCAAAACACGCAATTTCCACGGGTCTTGGGTGCCTGGGCAGCCGCTTCTTGAATGTGTACGGCTTTTTGTGTGACTTCTAGCATGTCTGGCAAAGGTGAGCGGGTTGAGCTCACAGCAAACACTCTCTTGAGGCACAAGGCGCCCCTCGAGCGACAGAGCTCAACGGCATCCTTCAACCACGCAGCAAAAGTACAGCACCTAAAAAAAGAAGAACAACAAGTCGTAACACAGAACCAGCTAAACAGCACAGCACCTTCCAACTAACCACAAAACAGGCAGCCTTGTGGCTTGGCTTTGACCCCAGCTCGGACAACCAACTGCTCTGTTTGTGGTTCCATCTTGTGCAGGCAGAAGCGGCGGCAGATGAAGCCTGATCCGAAACAAAAGCCGCAGAGGCGCGTGACTCGAAGGTTTTATGCTGGTTGACTTGTAGAATTTCTGCTGAATTGCTAGAATTCCGGTTGTTGCCCGGGCCAAAACACCAGGGATGTGTCCTGTCTGGGGAGTTGGCATCCTTTTTGGGGACCGAGGTTTCGGCGAACGAAAATTCTGCCTGCAGCCATACTGTTTGGGAGGATCCTGTGATATCCTGTGGGCATGAGGAGAGACTATGTTTCTTACATAGGGAACGCACCGCCAGATCGTTTCTGGTTCACCTTGGTTCCCATCATCATTTGCCTTCGCTTGAGAAGTATCCAGGTGGCCTGAGAGGGAGGGTTCTTCCAAAAAAGGTATTGATACTTTGCAAATTGCCATGGACCCCCGGAAACGGGTCCTCCCAAGAGGGATGCCTCGGCCGTGTTACAGGGTCCTCGCGGATGCTTAGTTGCAGGGGCAGAGTAGGTTTTGCCGCCCTCCTGGCAGAATCCCCTTCCAAAGGTCAAAGGTCGCTGCTTGCTTCGTCACGACATGGGATTCGGGAGCCGGGCCAATGGCATGTGTTGGTTTAATGTAGTCATGTTTGATTAGAATGGCAGTTGCGCTGCAAACAAAACAGTTTGGAGAGGCTGTACGTAGCAAGGTGACATGTTGCGCAAGATTGAAGAGCAGCGAGTCGCGCCGGCCAGTGCCCATGATTTTGTGTACTGTTACTTAGCCATGTTATTTACCGTGCTCGCTACCCTGATAGTGGTTGTTGCGCCATAGCCAAAAGGCCAGACTTATTAATATACTCTAAACCAATATCCGTCCCAGTCAACATGTGATGAGCAACGAAACTTTTGCAGGCGTTTACCCTGGTTCTACTACAGTTAAGGAGCTTATCAACGAGGGATGGCCAGCCCTTCAAATGACCCAAGATGAAAACATGTGGCTTCTCCATCTCGGCACATTGGAAAGCGACGTGCCCGTTTTTAGGCCAGCTTTCCACACAAGCATGTGTGTTTCGTTGGGTGGTGTTGGTATCAATTCTGCCCTTCAGACTTGCCTATTATGCCTATGGAGGGGATCTCTGAAAATACACGTGGGCGCACGCTGCATAGGCACGCTTGATTCTTTAGACAACTTGCACAATTTACGTGTTTGTTTAAGAATTCCAATGCGATCGCAGCTCTTTGCGACGAGTTCATTCCGCAGCCGCACCCGGGTGGTGTCAGGTTAACGGTTGCATTGTGCTGGTGACAGGGCCAATTTGCGGACGCCAGCGTGAGGTTCGATCAAGTTGTCCGGCAGTGTATGCTCCATTTGGGAGGGACATCGAGGACGCACTAAATTTCCCGGGGGACTAATTCCCATTAAAATGCGATGTCCCCTCAGGGAAACAAGTAATTTTGACCCATTGGTCGCTGGGTGCTCGCTCTCCAGGCCAAGTTTCAGCATGATCAGCAATCTGACCGCTGAGGCGGTCAGGGGATGGGCGAATGGGGTGCTCAAAAAGCAAGTTATGATTATGAGATGATCCGCACTACTGTCACGTGTCGCCCTGTGAACCATTGGAACCGGGCGGAGGATTCCCATTTCGGCATCCCACGTTTATTTGTTAGATATCTTTAATACGAGCTATCAACCCCTCCCCCCTTTCGAGGCGCGGGTGTGTGTGTGGCAAATCACCCCTGCCACGCACACAAAAGCAGATGGTACCCCCAGCCAGTACCCTTCCTAGGGGAAAACAGAGGAAAGCCGTGGAGGACCTCCAAATAGACCTTGCATGAAGCCCAAACGCTCTAGCACCTCGTAGCACCTAGGCTGAAGATTCCAACCAGTTCCCTGACAGTCCCGTGACTTGGTGTAGAGATTGGACCTCGATGGGAGAGACCAGCCAGGTCAGGGAAGGAACATGCTTGGTTCCAGAAGTTTGCACAGTTGTTCCAAATCCTTTCGTAGTCCTAGTCTTATGATGTAGCACTACGGACCACAGATTGGGATGACAGGGCTCCCATCATTTTGGAGGTTATTTGCACAATTGCATCTCAGCAAGAGAAACAGCCCCAGGCAGCAGAGATGGTACTGAAAGGGCTTGTATCTGTTCCAAAAGATACCTCTTACCCATTGCACTGTTTGGTTGCCTGTGATTGTGGTGAGCTGGATATGTGTTTTACCTGCACAGAGGTATGCAGAACCGCTCACCACATGAAACCTGTTTCTCACATTGGGGACAGGCTGTGGCTACTGGGAAACTATTTGCAGGAAAGGGTTTCCCAACATCATTCCGCATGAGCAGCATTCAAAGAGCAGGAAAGAGTAAGGATTCGACAACGCTTGTTCCACTAGTGGCTTCAGCAGGGTCGTCCACAAGGCTGACGTGTCCCTTTATTTGTGACTATTTATTATTATCTACCTACAATCAACTATTGCTTAATTTATCGTATGTTCAGCACTGCTTCCGTTCAACTATGGAAAAGTTAAGGCGGCTGAACTCTGAGAGACCCACACTGGACATAGTTTGCATCTCACTGGGACAACCGGCATTGAGCTCTGAACCTTGGTGTTTCTGGGCAAAAGATCAGCACCCACCCGCTGCGCCCGGGATGTCCTGCCTACGCGGAAAAAGACATATTGAAGGGAAGGCGAGGGTCGGCCCGACGTGAGCCAAACGGCTTGGGTTTTGAAGCAGCTTCCAAGCCGAATTCGCTGTGCGAATGTGGGAATGAATGGGGGGATGGGGTGTGTGTTGGCCAATGGCATGGCGCAGCAGGGTGACTTCGGAATTCAGTCTTAAAAACGAAGAACCGAGATACGAAGAACATGGTGATACATGCATCGATGCTTTGTTTGTTTTTGCAAGCGCACTACTCCCCGCATTTGTTCCGCGGGTTTGTTGTTTAGCCAGCAGCTGAACAAGTGCTCAACACGTTGTTTACACAACTTAGGTATGCCCTGAACCCGTTTCATCCAGTTCGAGAAGACATTGACATGGAAGAAGCAGTTTGGATGGGGCCAACATAATTGTTTTTGGGTTGCCATCCATTTGAGCAGGTCCCAACACCCGATTTGGCCATTTTAACAGGCGATTCTACTACCGGTTCCACGGGGGCTACAGGAAGGGGTGATATTAGCTTTACATCCATTTTGTGCAACGCAAAGCCCAAAGGCAACGGGTTTAAGGGATGTCTTAAGAATGGTTGGAGCACCCTTTCGGTGGTTTACAGGGTTTAAATCCGAGTGAGCCAAACGTCCCACGGCTTTTGGGGCGCTGGGGCGCAGGCACTGCAGTTCCTCCTGCAGCAGCCCAGGCGGTTGGCGGTTGACGGTTGGCGGGGGCGGTCCGCGAATGCCACCCGACGCAATCCACGCCAGGCACCAGTTGGGAAGTGGTTCATCCAGGCTTCATCCACCCCCACTAATTAGTACAACATAGATTTTGCGGGGGGGGTGGCATGTGCTCATAGGTCCCTTTGAGGTCTGAAGGTTGATGGATTCCAATGGTCTCACTTTGGGTCTAATCATGCCTTGCCCCACTTCCGGTGGTTTCGCGGGGCTGGAGACATAAACATGTTTATGTATACAAATACTGCAGCATTCTTACGTGCTCTTATTTTCAGGGAAGGTGCCCTCAGTTTTGTTTGGTTTTCATCCCAGTGTGAGTCAGTGCCTTTCTGTGGAGTTCGCAACATGTGGGTTGTGGTGAGGTGTCTTGTTCATTCGATGTTCAAAGCACTAAGGAGTGCCACCTGGAACTATGGATGAATTGATCCAGCACCGCCATTTCGTTGACGGGCCATCTGGATGTGTGTCTAAACTAGGCATCCCGAACAATGCCAACATGTTTATGTCATGATGTAGTTCCCTTGTTCGATCCGTTCCTTGAGAGGGTCCTGGGTTTTGTGAAATCTTATCGGGTCCATTTCCAGGCCCTGAATATTGCAAGTTACGACAAAACCACACCGCAGCAGTGCAGCACCATTGTAGGTCACGGTGAATTCGATGGTTTCCTTGCTCCCTTACGTGCAATATCTAGGGCATCCACCGTACCAAGTGGTGCGAAGCAGATGTTGTCTATCCACGGCATGACCCGGAGAGGAACCGTCTGCTCATCGAGGAGTCTCACGAGCTTCAGGCGGGGTCGGGTGTTGCTTCAAAGGTTCATTTTGGCGCGTAGGTTTTTTGGGGTTCCCTTTTGACCTGCTTTAAGGACGAGGCAACATGAAACCCTACGCAAATCTGGGAGGCTCCATTACGACAAACCCATTTGAGTCGAGTATGTTTTTAAATATCGGCCGATAGGCTCACAGCTGCCCTTGGGGTGTATTCTTGGGTCAAAGATGCGGATAGATGGATTCCGCTTCAGTTTGGTTCCAAAAATTGCCAGCAGCGCTTGTTCCAAATGGAAACTACCGCGCCTTTTGGGACGGTACTTGTGTGATGCCCATCTGTTTGGCCCGCTGGGACAACTTTTAGGAACCCGGGGTTCGAGTTTGACAACCTAGCCGTATGTCAAGCCACTCACACGCCACGCTCATCAGTTCAAAGTGTCGTGCAGGTTCTTGGTAATCCAACGTGGACATGTTCTCGATGTTGATGTGATTCACATGTGATTGATATCAGAATCTTATGAAGATGTTGACGCAGCCCTGCAAAGCTGTCATGATAAAGGAGCGACCGGCTTTGCTGGGTTTGCTTTGCCAAAGAAGGCGGCGGGCATAAATTGCTCCCCGCTCGCGGTTGACATCTTCTTGCCCCATATAGGCCCATAGAGGCATCGTGGGGGCTTGCCCAGTGGCGAAATCCCTATTTTCCTTTTTCGTGCTCTTGCATTGCTTGGAACTACTGAGAAAGACAGGGTGTCCTTTGTCATGTCCCAAAGGTCCCTTTGCTGAGGTCATGGACTCAGAACTTTGGGGAGGACAAGTGAGCCCTACTTGTTTGACAAAAAGATGCGGGCTCGGCCTAGAGAAAGTTGGCGCTCAGGCCGGCACTGAGATGGGCAAGTACATTGAGTCCAAGACTGGGCGGCAGACTCAGCGCCGAGAGAGGTATTTTTGGCTGGGCCTGAATTTCTAGAGACGGTCTGCTGTGTTTGGTTGTTTCTTTCGGACTAGGTGTAGGAATCAGGCAGATTCTCTTTGCGTTGCCCAGTAGGCTTTGTGCAGTTTCCTTGATTGATGAAAAGTGGTTCACCAAAGCTGGTAAGTTCCGGGCTTCAAAACGGGAGTAGGCAAACCTGTCGGGAATAGATCCGAAAAAAGCCTGTATGGGACGCACATGGGCACATTCCGCTCCCATGCCTGCAAAGCAGAGGATGGAGACCACTGGATACCCTTTGGATCAGTTGCGTTTGATGTAACTTCTGCCAATAGCGTAGGCTCTGAACAGTTATCCGAGAAGCTTGCTGGTCCGTGGAAACTTACCCCCAAGAGATGGAGGCATTTCGAGGCCATCTTACATTGACTCCTACCCCTCAAAAAGACACCACCCAAAGAAATGACCCTCCGGTTGCGGTAAACCGTTGTCTTCTTCCCAAAAAAAAACGCTAGGGGTCCCCAGAAGGGCGCACTAAGGTTTTGGTCGGTGAACGACAAACTGTGATTTGGGACAAGGTTCCGCTGACGTTTGAAGCCCTAAATGCTTCAAGTCGGTGGGAAACGGCCCTCTTGAACACGGAATTGGGTAGGTGAGTGACATTTGATATAGGTGTCATTCGGCGAGCAAGTAATGTTATAATGACAAGGAAATTCCCAGCAAGGCTACGGGGAAGAGAGAGGGAAGACGAGAGGAAGACTTCGGGAAAACTAAAGGAACAGACTGCGGGAAAACTAGATCAAAGGAAGATTACTGCAATGTAGGGGGTAGGGAACACAAACAAGCTCAAGTTTGGATATGATATTCCCTTCCAACCCAGAGTTGGAGGGCCAGCTGGGGAGGGTGGTGAGGGTCAGAATAGGGAGACTCTGGCCGGTAAGGGCGCTGCGCCAATATTGATTTTGGTCTTCTGGCTGGACTTTGTACTATTAGTGTGTCCCCCGCCCATAATTTTGTTGCACTTGCATCGTCTTGCCAGCTTTTGTTAATAGCGCACGAGCCACGCTCCACAGCAGGCAAGCAAGAAAGTATTCAAGCACGCCAGCAAAAACATCATCTTTTGCCTGAAGTCAAGGGTTTTGTCAACCCAGCGACAGGGTGCGTTTTTTGGAAATTTGAATGAACCATAGCATCTGAGAAGGCAAAGTGCCCTTTGGGTTACAACTTTCTGGCCAAAAATCCCAAGCCGAGTGAACTCCTAGCAGGCAAGAGGAGGAGTTCTACCAAAAGCGCGCTAGCAGGCGGGGCTGCAGGGCTGGCTGCAGGTACCGGCTGCCCAGGCTGTCAAACAAGCGGGTATTTGGAGAATCCAACAAACCTTTGCAGCAGCACAGCATTGACACGTGTCAGCTTGCATGTCTGGAATTCAGGACAATGTCCTGTCCTCACGTTTGGCATGCCACGGTGCGTGTTTCCATTGCACCCTTTTTCTAAGCCTTTTACTTGCAGCAGGTGCATATGAGTTTGTATGGGCAGTACCGTCAGCTGTTGTGTGCACTCCCACCCTAGGGTGGAAGATTACAACAAGGAGGAGGGGCCATGGGACATGATGGCTGAACGTCGTAGTGACTCCATGACCTAGTCCCTCCTATACACAGACTCATTTGACAGATCTCGTTTGTTGACCTCCCTCTTTGAACTCTTTTGGCAGGCGTTTGAAGGGCACCAACAGCAAACTGCCCACGGACCTGCCTTGGTTTGTCTCTGAAGGAGACCAGGAAGCCACCTGGGATTGCTTTTCAATCAAACTCTGACTTTTGAGGCTTGCTTGCACATTCGCTGAAACAAATACATGATTTACGCTAGACTCCCGGGGTCTGCCTCCAGGCCAGCGGCCGGACACCTGCGGCCCTTCAGCTACGCGCGGCGCCTGGCCCGGGAGGCGGGCTCCGTCCGCTGGCGTCCGCGTTTTCGGCGGCCAGATGGGCCATGGAGCACCAGGGCCTGTTTGGTGCTCCGGGGATTCAATCCACAAGAAGCAAAGCAGGTTTATACGGCTGTGGGTCAAAACCAATGGTACCATTTTGGAGTAAGTGCAGCACTCATTGTAGTCTATTTTAGTGGGGATTGGGATGTTCACTTGGGTTACGGGACTTTGACCCGTGGCCACACAGCCACCAGTGTTTACCTGAGTTTTACCATCTAAATTGGGTCAGTGATTATTTTTGTTGGGGAACCCTACCGTGTATTGGTACGCAGGTCTTTGCCGGCTGGCGCCTCCATGTCGCCACGCTGAAGGAGCAGGCGGGAGGTTTCCTCTGAGCCTCAGCCCCAAAACTGCGGGGCCCAGCAAATAGGTTTCCGCAGAATGGGAACCAAAGGGTCTCCGAAAATTGGGTTTATGGTTTAGGGAAGGGCCCTTCAAACTGCGGAACAAGTCGATCCGCTGGGTGATGAGAATCCCAAAGACGTGATCCCTCATCTATGCTCATGTCCTCTGGAAGGAAAGTCAAATTTGCGGACGGACTTCGTTCGGAGCTGGCCACGGACACATTTGAGCCATGGGGGGACTTCCTGTGACCGCAATGATGGACCTTGCCCGCGCTGCTTGTTGGGTACGGATTTCTGTCGAGCCGCGTGCCAATGTCACAGGCCCTTTAGCTGAATGTTGACCTCTGATTAACCCCTCCAGAGATTATCAGGGGGGTGTTCCTGGAAGATGGGAATCCCCACTGAGAGACAAATTGGGTAGTTTGCATTGCAGGTCTTGTCACCTATGCCGAGCTTAACAAGAGTGTTCCTACGCGCAGTCACAGCTCAAATTCCTGTCTTCTTTTCTGGTCATGGCATCCGAAGAGAACCTCGTCGCGTTCTGGATTTCGTGGACGCATCAGCACAAGTCGAAGTGGCGTCCAACGATTGATTGGTAGCTCGACCTCTTCCTGGATGGTCTTGAAGGGAATCAAAGATTTAATCCTCTATTGAGCCACTGATGATTTGATTCCCTTCTGCATTTTTGACCATGACCTAAAGCGAGCGCCTCGTCGATGCATTTTGACAGTGCGCCGGCCCCCGTGCATTTTTTTTGCGCACTCAGGGTGTGCCCAGAAGGCAAAGGAGGTCGTCATCAGTGCGTGGGACCCAGCCGGATTTTTCAGAGCACCAGTTGGACTTTTCAGCCACATGCCCACTGGCGTGTCCAGCGCACCGTTGGACCATTGGTTGTCGCTTTTGCTGGTGCGCAAGCCTGCTTCCATGCATAGAGCGGCTGACAAATAGTTGTGCTCGGAAAGACGTTGGACAGACTTGCATCGAGCTGTTGGCAAGCTTGAAGGCATAGGTTGCAATTCCATTCAGGTTTTCCATCCGAGCCGCCGCCTTGAATGATACAACACTTTGCTACGATCGCTGCGCTTCCATGGGGATGAGGTTTCATGTGCTGAAAAGCGTTTGGTTTGGGCGTCCATACTCTTGCAATTCCATTGGGCGGAGTACTGAAGAGATGACATTGGGATGCTGAGGATTACTTTCGTGAGTCCCTTTAGGATTCAACCGCTTGTCACGAAGCGTCTTCAAACTGTTGGAGGCTCGAGCCTTTGGGGCGGCCATTTCATGCTTGCTTGAAACTCCGTGCAACCAATTGGGAATAAGGGTGGATTGCTCGGTCGGTTCACATCGCCCGATTCAAATCCGGCAATTTAGCTGACTCAATACTCAAAGCAGCACCTCGCATTGAAATGTTGGAACGGGTGCCGATTTTCATTTGGAGGTCGGCAAGATGCTGCTCCTGTCCAGGGCCTCCAGCCCCCATTTGCCATAGAATTAACCCTTTCTTGAAACGGGGCAACAGGGGGCGAAAGGTTTTTGTTTTGCGAGTTGGCAATACATGGGAGTTGATCAAATGGTCCTTGTAAGGTCTTCTATTCCAATGGAGGACCATCGCGTTGCAGGCGTTCGTGCCTGCGGTCTTGACATTTACAATTTGCTGAGTTGTGTTGGCTTGCAAGTTGCGCGTTTTGGCACCCCCCCGGGGCGGGATATGTTTCTCGATTTCATCAAATAATGAATCATTTTTGATCATCTGCCTTTTGATTCTTCATCTCGCACCCTGTTTTGTGAGGTGACCTCTTGTACTCCTTTTGAAGGGCAACCCAAAGGAGCCACCATTTTTGGGGGCGTCCCCTGTGTTGACACGCACGCGCATGTGTTTGTTTGCCAAAAAGAACATATCAGGCCACCCAATGTCTTAAACTCGTGGCCGGTAGTATCCTTCATCAAAGCGCGCCGTGAGTTTTCAATACGTGGCAACAGGACGGCCAGCGCTGGAATTAGGATACATGTCACATTTGATATCGGCCGCTGAGTTATCACTCCCCTAGCTACACGTAGATCATAGAGCTTTGCCAGAGAAGCAACGGCTTTCGCTTTCCACTTTGTCCCTGAGGCTCCTGGTGCACGATGTCAAGGTGCCTTTGCAGCTTAGCTCGGGCCTAAATGAAGAAGAGCTACGTCAGTGTATCTTGCAGGATACATGGGAGTTTCGCAAGAAGGCACGTCACCCGACGACACCAGTGGAACGAAGGGAATTCTGGTGAGTTTTTCTTCCAAGCTTTAAGTCATTTGTGGCGGGGCCATGCAGGGCCCATTCTGTTTGTTTGAAGGGGAGCAAGAAGAACCAATGCGGGATCTCCAGGCATAGATATACCCAGGTGATCTACAGGCATGGACCGCCCATTCAGGTTACCACTTTTTCAGCCTCAGCGGCCAATGGCGTGCTCCTTCAGGCTTGATACTTCCCGGCGTTGACAGACTGGGCATAGGTGTCCTTTTTGGTTGTTGTGCTGAAAGAAAAATCGATGGCCCTATTTTCCTGGTGGTTTAATCATCTACCAGGGCCATTTGTTTCCCTAAAAAGGACACCTATGCTGATGGGTCAATGCCATTTGAGCTTTGTTTGGGCAACTTGAGGTGTTCTCAGGTGACCTAAAACACGGAGTCCCACGGGTTACATCGGCCCCTTCGGCGCAGAGAGGTACGTGGCCTGACTAGCTTTATTTCACAAAAGCGTCCAGTATGCAGTTTCTGCTGCATTATCTTGTTATACTGTGGATGGACGGAATCCTGGACCAACTTGAAACCATGGGAATCCATTGTTTGTTGATATTGCAGGGGAATCGTCATGCCAGGGTTTCTTAGGTGGTGCAGGATTTCGTCCATCCACAGTAGTTTGTCAATTGACCCATGCTTTTGGACTGGCTAAAGACAACGCCGTGTATCTCTGCAAGGCGCTGAATCAAAAGCTGAATGACGTTAAGATGGGTTTGTCTCCTTGGGGAGTGGTTTCCCTTTGGCTTCTCCAACTCCCGGCAAGGGGACCCCACACAGCAGACGCGCACGCACGCACGCACGCACACACGCACGCACACACGCACACACGCACACACACACACGCACACAGGACCCCTGGATGAGGCCCAATTTTGTGGCTGAATCCACAAGTAGTTTTCTTTTTTGCTTCAGAAGGCTCTCCTGCGAATAGCAGCAATTAATCATAGTTGGAAAGCATATCTGCCAAAGGAAGACTATTTCCTTGAGCCCGGGTCTCTTCTACAGCTTGCAGGGGGCCTTTGCTGGGCCATGGAAGGCTCATGAGCTGCTTTTCCATGGAGGGCAGTTGCAAAATAGCCAGACTTGGTGGACGTGAAATCCAACAGGTGGGTGTGCTTTGTATGGGGGACACCCCAAAACAGTGGTTTTCCTGCTGGTTTCTGTTTAAAGCCGCCAAAAATAGGGGTACCCCCTAAGAAGACAGACTCAGGTCGACAAAATTTTGAGAACCCAGTGAACGATGTTCCCTTAAGCAGGATGTCGGATGGCCGCGAAGTGTTCGCAGCCGAGGAGAACGTTCTGATACCGAGTCGGAGGAGGAGGAGGAAGAGGCTGGCGAATCCATTTTCGCCCCCCTCGCCCGGGGCTCAGCTTCGTGAAGATGTTGGTCAGGTGTCTTGTTAAGTGAAGCGAAGCCTGCATGGATATTCGACCATGGATGGGCATGGATATGGACAAATGCTTGAACAACAGCCCTGATATGTACACTCGTCAGGTCCTTGAACAATGTACCCATGATGTGCCAATGCTCTGGCCGGGGCTTGGCAGACCGCAGCACGTGGATTGAATATCAGCTCGCTGAGTCTGCGTGCATGACCGCTTGGCAGCAGAGGAGTTCTCACCGTCCTGGATGTAGACACATATGCCAGGCCCCGCCGCTCTCCCCATGGCTGCAGCAAAAAGCCACACCTTTGGGCTGCTTTGATGGTTTCCGCGCTGATTGAATTTTATATAACACTAGTAATTACCAGAGTCCTGGTCATGATCGGCAACACTTTTTCTCCGACCTTTGCGGGTAACTAGTAACAGCTGTTGCTTGAGGCTGGAATTCACCTCATGCGCGATGCTTCCTTCTGAAGGAACCACAAGGATATGGATATGGTGTGTTTCGTCCTGCCAGCCCGTTTTGCTAACCAAGAGGCGTGATCGATCCCAAGGCTGGGGATTCCACATGGCCCAGAGCTCCGAGGTCTTGGACGCGTCTGCCTTTCGAACTGCAGGGGGCCCCTGATTGCCCCGCCTCAGTTCAGCAAGGCATAGCAAGGCCGTGTACTTCTGCCATCAGACATCAGCCCTGCAGCTTTGAAAGCAAGGACCCGGGGGTTTGACTCCCAGAGCCCCAGTAGCAATCAAACACATTGATGACATTGACCCAGTCAGCCGCACAGCCGCACACCGCTTCTTTTGAGCAATTCGGCTTAGAAATTTAGACTTTCGGCAACACGGTGACTCAGGCCCTCTGCCTGTGCTGTTGTGAAGGTGTTGGTTCATGTTGCCCAACACTACTTTGATTACTCATTCTGCTCCACCGAAAATTGACAGATCCATGAAGCTAGCTCTTCTTTGACAGGCTTGGGGCCGTTCCTGGATAAGGTATGATCCAACCCAACAAATAGGATGTTCTCTAAAAGGGTTCTTGATGAATATAACGTTAAGCAGTTGGAACTTGTCCAGAGACATCTTCAAAATAATGAAAGCACTTTTGAGCTTCCATGGTTGTTGTAGGAAGGGTAGATTACAAGCATAGGGGGTGTTGCACAAAACGTGACCAGTTGACACTAAACCAAGCAATGGTGATAAGTACAGGGTTGGGGGAGGATGTCCATTCAAATGGGCAGTGAGCTGACGATATGATCGGGAAGACCTGTGGGATCTTTCCCCGAAAACTCCGGCGGGCTGTCCTATTTTCCCATGTCCAGGAAGGCGCAATCAGTCCTGATCGCCCAATACCGATCTTTGGCCAGTGTTCCGCCTTGATCCATATCTGGTGGTTCCACCAGTTGCCGGCGGCATTTGTTTAGGCCTTTGATACTTGAGGCAATCTTAACATGCGTTGGCTGTTGTCAGGGCGCGGAGGCTGCTCGAATCTACAGTATATTCATGATTTAGATTTATTCCTGTAATATGTATAGATCAATATGCATATATGTATATATATATATGTGCATACATATATATATATGTATTTGCATATGTGTATATATATACGTATGTGATATGTGGTAGGCCCAACACATCAACAGGGCTTCTGCTTGGTCTTCCAAGGCGACTGACTGTTCATTTTCTGTTTCGGAGGCCTTCACAGTGGGGAGCCTCATGGCCAGTCGCATCAAGGCCTGGCGATTCCACTGGATGGCTGGTTTTTGGTGTGACTCCAGGACCTGTTGGAAACAAATGGCTTTTCCATTAAACCTATAAAACATACCGGTCTAAGGACCTTTTGCTCGGAATAGCTTGGAGCATCCCCATACTGTTTGAACTCTTGCACTCTTCTAGCAGTCTTTATGGGGGAATCCAAAGGAGCATCAAAACCAAACCATATATGAGAGCGCCATAGTTGGATGCTCCTTGAAATGACTCAAAGTGCCAACACTACCCGCTCATTCCGTACTGTTTGGCTTGAACTATAGTCCAATCGCTGAATCTGTGGGTGCTTTGCCTTGTAGACACGTTGTCCAAACCGCAAGGATGGAAAACGTGGGCCGTCTTTGGTGGGCTGCCACAAACCAACATTTGGTGCGCTATGGTGTTCGCAGCTGCCTTCTAGGGGTTGATTCCCCATTCTGTCCAAATATCATCAATTATTCCCCCCGCTTTTGGTGGTTGTGTGGAAAGAATGATCCCTGATCAGAATGTGTTACCCCTGGAACACCCCCCTAAAGGGTCCCTCTTGCTCCGTGTGAGACTTGACAGCGTCAGGAACACATGGTGCAGCAGACAAATATTCCAGCGCAATGCACAAGTCTGACGTTCATCCCCGAGAACTTGCGAACCGGAATCTCTTTTGAATCACTTCAAGACAAATCAAACTTGGATATGAACTTAATCAAGAACGACATGAAACCCCACCTAAATCATGTCCCCCAAAGAGTTTCCCATGAAATTCACACCCACATTTCTTTGTTGCAGGGCAAACACTGACTTGTTTGCTATCAATCGTGAGTGCGATTTTTCATAGGCGCAGAAGCTGAAGGAGGAGGGCAAGGTGGGGCTGGAACAGCGGAAATCTTTCGGATCTGACTCGGTGTCCCCTAGTTCTAATTTTGACCAGTGACACAAAAGGATGAACTATGACCTACAATCAATCAGCATTATAAGGAGTCACAAACGGGAAGCATGAGGGGGAACTTACCGTCATAGTTTCTTGTCAGAATCGAAAAACCCTGATAGTGGTGAACTGTGACGTTATTCATTCCAACAGCATGACCAAGATATGGCGCCATTCAGGCTTAGACAATGATATGCGGAGATGTTTCGATTTGAGCTCTGTTGGCACCTATCCGTGCTGAATTTCATCGATTTCGGATCACTGTGGTGAATCTAGAATTGCAGTGTAGCATGTTTCAAACAGATATCACTCAATGCATGTGACAGGCTAGTTACCGCGAAAGTAGGGGTGGCAAGGTGGCCAAGTGAACGCAACATCTTGAGCGAAGATCAATGCAATCCCACATCTTGCATTCCTCTGTGCGGTAAACGCGGCCTCAGCGGATGTAACATACATATATATATATATATATTGATCAATACATTATATGTAACATGTATACGTATTTGTATACTTATGTTGAAAGCTGCTTAGGACGCCCCAGGGTGGGCAAAACCACCAGAGGAGCAGCTTGGGGTTGGAGCGGCGGCCATGAGGATTCAGTTGTTAGGGGTTCGCTTCGTGTGTCAGGTGGGTGAATCATATTGCTGGTGCTCAGTGGGGAAGGTGGGCATGAACCGCGGATGCCCTTACAGAAAACCACAAGGGATGGTTTATCCCTACTGAGCACCAGCAAATCATACAGTTGGGGGAAAGTAGACGGCGTCACTCCCCCATGTTGGCTTAGTCATCCCCTTTCCCAGAGACAGGGAGTTGTGCCATCTTTTTTCACCCTGCAGGGTTGCCCAGATTCATTTTAGCGTTGATCGAGTGTCGGAGCTGTTTGCCGTGCCAGACCGCGCCATCCTATGCAAATGTGCAGGCACCTGCCGGGCATGTAGCGGGATTCGGATGTGACAGCTGGGCGTGTCCTCACCAGTACCACCAATGGTGGTTTTTTCTTTGGCTCCCTCTTGAGCACCAGCAGACGGGGGTCCCAAATTGAAGGAGACTCTCAGGTTTTAGCTTTTACCACTGTTTGTGGACTGCCATCAAGAGTTTCTCGAGCGTGCGACTTTGGGCCATCCCCCCTAGAATCGAAAACCTAGCAAGCTTGGCGGAGTGGTGTCTCAGGAAGGTTCAGGCTGCCAGCAGTTGTCTGTGAATATGCATGTGTCTTTGAACAACAATACATATATATATATACATATACACCTGTGTTATATCGATATTGATAATACATCACAACCCTACAAGCAGGTGGCATACTATTGTTGCTAGCTTTTAATGAACACGTCTCCTTTGCGGCCGCCACTCTACTGGGAAATGGTATCGGATCAGTCTGAGGCTTTTGGAAACAGCTTGCATTCGATCTGGATCAATGCAACCAAACGGCGTGGTGGATAGCTCACCATCGAGTGATGTCTTATCTTGGGGTTGTGCCTCATCAGGCTCACTAGTTTTTTGCATTTGGCCCAGCTTTACGGGCTCATCAATATTCTACAAGCAGAGTGGTTGCTTGTGATAGTTCTGCTTGACTGAGTTCATCGGTAATTGCAGCACGTTCTCGGGTCATGTTCGGGCCAATTCCCGAAGGATGATATTGGACGAAGTGCCGTCGGTGGAGAGGGCTGTATGTCCTAAGCACCCTAGCAAGCTGCAATGATCTAGTGGAAGCGCTCCGTTTGGAGATCTTTCAGGGGACCTGTTTCACGAGTTCTACACGGGTTCCGATGTAAGGCACCGAACAGTGAATCATGTGTGTAGCGTCCCGGAATCATTTGTTAGAACCCATTTAGGGTGACGCTGCTGCTTTGGTGAGCTGCTTTTTGATTGTCCTGGGCACGAGCTGCGGGTCTGCCGAAGCCAAGAACAAGCATAATGAGGGCTGTAATTTCCGAAGGACTGGCAGATTTTGCGGGCCAGATTCAATACTTGGACAGAAAGGTAGCTGCTGGTAAATGGGTACCAGGGAACGCTCCGGAGTTTGCGCTGGTTCGCTTAAGGTTGTTCAAGGCCCTTCGCCACGATATAAACGGTTGCACAGTTGAACTATGTCCATGCGACCAGGGAATCACAGACACCCTTTGCAACGAACACAGATGGGGATGTGCTCTGTGGGCTTATGGTTGCTGTGTGTACATGGTCGGTTGAGTTCAGAAAATGGAGCAACCGAGATCATGTTGATGTCCTATGTCTCCTTGTAAAAAGACGTGGATGCAGAACTACCACTTTCTCAACCAAACTTACACTACAATAGCATGTCCTTTAGAATTGACTTTGAGGCCACAGTTTGCGAGCCGCCCACCCCACAACTGCCGAATGGCTGCACCTTTGTGCAATACTTTCTTGGCGTCATACATCCATACGATGCATATATATATATATACATACATACATACAGGACATCACCCTTCAGATGCATATAGCCATAATCCCTGCCTAGTTTATTGAAGCAGCTACCAATTCGGGCTCAATGAGAAACCGGCAGGGGCCGGGGCCTCAAATGGGCACAATCAGTCAGTGACATTCGGGAGTTGCCCTGTTGCCTTTTCCAAACAGAATGCAATTCCTGAAGCTTTGACACCAAAAAGGACCGGAAGGAAGAAAAGCAAAAGGGCACCGCAAAACAACCAAGTCACAGGCTTCACAACTCCAACAACTTTATTAAAATCCTTGGTGAAATGACTAAAGAAAACACCCTGAAGCGAAAAGCGATTGACTCAGAGGAGAAATGCACACCATGGAGGGGAGTCATGTTATCTTAGCTGTAAACCATATTACATGCGCTGCTGATCGCCACCATGCTTCGTCAAGTTTCCCATGCTAGCCAACCGCGCTCAGTACGAAGCGGGATACTGGGGGAAGAGAAACTCAATTTCCCCATTAAATGTACCTTTGGGGCATAAACCAACCTTCCCAGGATTGCATTTGGGGTTCCGGAGTTTGTGTACATGGTACGTTGGAGACTGCTTGAAACCCGGGAAGCGTCGTGTCTGATTCTTGCAGGCAGTGACGGAGGTGTCGCTGCAGGACAGTAGTTTTTAATCAGAATGAACAGAGGCTGCAGAACTACATGGGCCTTTCCAAAATATATGCCCCCACAAGCTTTACCGAAATACAGTTCATCGCGAGAAAACTAGCTTTGGCAGCTACTCTGACTTGACTCCCAAGGAGAGTTCGGGAGCTCAATATATACATATACAATGAATATGCTTTCCTAGCTGAAGGCTTTGGGGTCTATGCCCAATTAGTCTCTGGAGTGGTTCGGAGCGTCTCCGGGCTACGGCTCGGGAATAATTTTGGGGGTTGCTGTTGGGGATACCATCTCGACTTGTTGTGTTGCGCAAATCCCCTTAGTTGTTTTTCCAATATCACCATGTGGGCCATTGCCAAAGGACTTTCCTGTTCGTGGGGTGATTTCTACATGATTGAAGATTGGAAGTCACCAGCCAAAAGCGGATGCTTAATTTGATGAAGCCTCTGTGCAATTCGCTAAATGGCTCTGAACCACATGTGCATCGTTGGCGGTTCTCAATGAGCAACGAACAATGTGGTTGGAAGTCTACAATACACCAGATTTTCGTTGCTCGAAACTGGCTTGTGCTACAATACAGACCAGCGGAATAGTGTTGTTGCTTTGGTGGTTTCCCATGTGATACGCCTTCCAAAAGGACCACCTCCGCTTGCCCTCACAGGACATTGTGTCGCCAATCTACTGATAATCCCCAATCGGTTGTTTGTATTGGTGGCTTGGATTCTCGAATCAGTTTCTTGTGAACCCATCAGAGAGGTTCCCCCAATCTCCAAACTACTGGGCTGGCTGGCTGGCCAACCACTGCTATCATGGGTTATTGTATAAAGCCAATCTATATATATATATATATATGTGTATATATGTATATATATATATATGTGTTTAGTTAACCTTTGTCACCTAGTGGAACCCAAACTACCAAGTGAGGATTTTGCGCCATCTACTTTCACCCACCTGTGCATGTTTGGATTGAGGAGATTCCTCCACCTCCGGAGGACGGGCGGGGTGTCGCACGCTGAACAGCATGCCTTTGCTTGCGACTGGTCTGCGTGTCGCAAAGCGCTCAGGCTTTTGGGGATGTTCTCCGTTAGGTTGGAATGTATGTGGCTTTCAAAGACCCACAGAAGCTGTCCACAGAAGCTGTCCACAGAAGCTGTTTGTGTGAGTGTGCGTGTGTGTGTGTGTTCGAGTGTGCACCGGGCTTGATGGTAAACACTTGTTTTGGGGCAGTGGCATGTGTTATATATTCCTTGCACCTGAAGCGGGACTTGTATTCAATCACTTCTCGGGGCTGTACCTTTCCCAAACAAGTGACGTAAGGTTCGCTCAAGCGAGTTACTCAGCCACACGCTCGAAGCCGTGAGGGGTCCTTGTTCGCACTTTGTCGATGAACAAGTTTGTCAGTGGTTCCTGCTTGATATTTGGAATGGCAGGACATCTCACGGTATGTCTGCATGGAAGCGCTGTGGTTTATTCGGCTTGGGCTGAAAGAAGCGGTTCCAATATTGTCCCCTTGGCGAGGTTTCATTTGTTTCGCGGTGCGTGCGAAGCTCTAGAAACCATTTGTCAGCTGTTGGAGGCCCCCAGAAAGTGGTTCCGAAGAAGAGGTCTCTACATGTTCGTTGGATTCAATGTTAGGTGGGGGAGCATGAGGAAAGTCTTGTCCATTTGTTCTGGTGCGGTGGGTAGTCACTTGAGCCGAAGGACCCTTGGCTAGTCAAGCAGATCACAGAGACTTTGCGGCTGCAAATGAAGCCTTCCTATACCTTTGCTTAAGTAAATCATGATCTGCTGGGCGCTTGTTGCTCAAGCCGTGATGTTTTTCATGCTTCCAGCAAAGCACCAGCAAAGTGCGTACCTTTTCGGGGCAGTCGCCAAGCTGCAGGTCAGCCATCCCCCTTCGTCGTTCTAAGGTCGATCCGAGAACAACAAAGCATGGGGTAGGTGCGCAGACACACACACACACACAATATGTCTTTTTTTAGAGCGAGTGCAGAGGACAGAACAGGTTACATTTGGGCAACAATCCTGTAATCCACGCCTCTTAGAAGATGCAATGTCCCTTGAGGTTTACCTTTCATCAGCCCCGCCCCGTGATTGAAAATACAGACCCTGACCGTTGCAGGAAGAGTCTCCGGCATCGGAAGCGAAATCATCCAGGAGGCAGGGCAAAGAAGGATACCCGCCAGCTGTCTGCCGAGAGGGAAAGCAACCAAGAGGATACCCAGCTGGGTGGGAGCCACAGGAAACAACCCAATAGGTCGCAATGGCATGTGAAACAATCAAACCCACCAAGCCACCCACCACCCACCCATCCACCCACCCACACCCACGCACCCGCAGCGCAGCGCAGCGCGCCACACCCGCACAAGCACACGCGCAGGCGCACGCGCACGCGCACGCGCACCCACACACAGAGACAGAGACAGAGACAGAGACAGAGACGCAGACGCAGACGCAGACGCAGACGCAGACGCAGACGCAGACGCAGACGCAGACGCAGACGCAGACGCAGACGCAGACGCAGACCCAGACCCAGACCCAGACCCAGACCCAGACCCAGACCCAGACCCAGACAGAGACAGAGACAGAGACAGAGACAGAGACAGAGACAGAGACAGAGACAGAGCCAGAGACAGAGACAGAGACAGAGACAGAGACAGAGACAGAGACAGAGACACAGACACAGACACAGACACAGACACAGACACAGACACAGACACAGACACAGACACAGACACAGACACAGACAGACAGACAGACAGACATAGACAGACACACATAGACACACACACACACACATAGACACACACACACACACACTAGACACACACACACACTACACACACAGACACACACTAGACACACACACACACACTAGACACACACACACACTAGACACACAGACACACACTAGACACACACACACATAGACACACACACACACATAGACACACACACACACACACACTCGACACACACACACACACACATAGACACACACACACACACTGGACACACACACACACACACACTAGACACACACACACACTAGACACACACACTAGACACACACGCGCACACACACACACACACACACTAGACACACAGACATACACTAGACATACACACACACACACTCGACACACACACACACACACTCGACACACACACACACACATAGACACACACACACACTAGACACACACACACTAGACACACACACACATACTAGACACACACGCGCGCACACACACACTAGACACACAGACATACACTAGACACACACACATAGACACACACACACACACACTAGACACACACACACACACTAGACACACACACACACACGCACACACACACACATACACAGTATGGGTTGCCCTTTCCCGGGTGGGAGGTCTTCCCCTTCCACATTGTTTATGTGGGTACGTGTCTGAATGGTGAAATCCCGCAAGCAAGTGATATGTGTTTTTGGTGTCCCAACACACCAACCCCAAAACGCAGACCCTCAAAAAGCACCACGCCCAGGTTGATCGTTGTATTTAGGGTCGGGTTTGGCGCTGGTGCAGCTTTCAAAATTGCCCAGCCAGGCGGCAAGCGAAAAGCAATGCCAAGGGGTCTGGGGCCCAGCACGAGCAGGGCCGGCCAAGTCGGGTGGTTGCAAAAAATGCTGAAGCACTAAACACCTCCAGACCTCTAGTGGTGCCCACTTTTCCGTTGTGCCGAGGGTGCGCGTGTGCCCAAAGGGTGTCCCTCAAAAACAGAAGTATTTGAAGAATCCACGCATTGCTATTGTGCTTCCAAAATGCCAAGTTAGACGTGGTGGCACCTGTTCGTTGCCTTGGCTTCCCTTCAGCCAGAAGGCCAAAGTGCCAAGGGGGAGGAACCCAATCTGGGCGAAGGTCAGAGGATTGATGCCGCACACACAGTACATGCATTTTGGAATCGCGGACAAAACGGAGTCACCCACGATGAAAGCACCTTAGTTTGAGAGCATTTTCTTTCTGTGCAATTTGCCCTGATTGTTGGGAATGCTTGCCGGAAAGCATTCTGGCTGGTCTTGGTGTCAAGCAGGGTACCGGGTAACTGCACCACACCAAAACATGGCCGGCAGTGGAACTTCGAGGGGATTCTTGTTTGTGGTACTTCCCGGGCTGCTGTTTGGGGACCCCGTTGATGGTACTACTGACTTGTCAACTATGTGTTCTCGACATATGGGTGTGGAATGACGGGAATGTTTGAGGGTGCTCATGTTGGATTTGCTTTGGCCGCCGGGACCAGTCCCATTTGCGGCTACCCCTGTGGCACAAACCCACACTCCATAATATAGGACCCCTAAAACAGGTTGGCTGTTTAGCTTTAGGCCTCAACCAATAGGGAGGTAGTTCATATAGGACACCCCCGCATCCCCAAATACGTAAGACTTGTCGCTGACAGCGAAAGGCCTCATTTATCTCACGCCACAGGACGCGGTGGGGCGAGGACTGCCCCGGTCTCAGGGCACCGTTCGAACTTGGCGCCAGGCTAATTGGGTGTTGGGCCAAGTTAGGAAGTTGTTGGTTCGATGGTCACCCACTTATACGTCCCCCGTTCAGTGGGGTTAACCTTTTGTGGGTGAACCTCAAGTGGCTAACCACTTGCCAACTTGGCCGAACATCCAAGCGCCTTCTCACCTTAAAAGGGACGCCAAAAAGAACAAAACTGATTTCGGGGTCCTGCTATTTGGTCATGCCCGTATTTGTGTGCCATGGTCAGAACACCCTGGTGATTGGTGTCAGGAATTGTCATTCACGCCTTGAGATTTTGACAGCCATCGTGAAGGCTCCTGAGACTCCTCAAGATGATACAACCCGCCTAAGGATGGCGCGTATTCTTCAGTTGGCATCGTCGGCTGGGTGCCAAATAGCCATTAGTGTGTAATTTCTCCCAAAGGACGCCAGAAGGGGATGCATGACTTTTCAATTTTGTCCAGCCCCCCCCATTGTTTGTTTGACGAGGCCCACAATCAGCCTTCCCAATTTCTACAATGCCCTTTCAGGCAACTTACAGATTATGTCCGTGGCTAATATGCTGTTTCAATGCTGCGGAACAGCTCTCCAAAAGCCCTACTGAGGCTTTAGATTTTGGAGCACGTGTCAGGTTAGGGGAGTCACTAAAACTCAACCAGAAGACTTGGCAGACTCATTCCCAATGACAATCATGCCCTTTACCCAGACCTTCGAAGTGTCTTTTCAAAAGACCCAACACTCCCTTCAAAAGTCAACTACCAACAGGGGGTGTCCTTTACCTGGACCTTCCAACTTTCCCTCTTTGAAAAACCAATTAGCGAAAGAGGGTGTCCATGTCCTGTTCAGGGCTGGCCGAAAGGTTCCGCCACAAAGCACCAATCCATGTTTGGCACCCCCCCTTGATAAACAATCAGCGTTCTCGTGGCTCCCCAATGAAACGCCCAAGGTTAAATTGCAGTATGATATTGCCAATGCTATCTTGCTTCGTACTCTTATGGGCTGGGAGGGGCCGAACAAATGCTGCCAGCAACTTCTTCACGTGGTTTGACAAGCTCATGAGGGATACCCCGTTCAAGGCCAGCCCCCCCCCCCCAAATAAAACATAATTACACCACTTACGCAATCCACCCTTATCCTGGCATTCTCCAGCCCTGGGAGAAAAACATTGCTGTCGGCCAGACAGTGGGAGGATTTGGGGACCGGATTAATAGGTGGGCTGCCCAGGGGCTTGGTTTTTATTCACAAGTTGACATTACTCAGATTGTCCAAGCTTCTTTCGCAAAAAAAAAGGCTAGAGAGGGAGCACATGTTTGTCTTATGGAAATCCACCGGAGAGCTGGGTCTTCACGTTTCCCTTGAGTTGGTTTGGATTATGGTGATTTGGATTGGATTTGAACCGCAGTTCCTCTTGAAACCAAAGGAGGTACTGCAAATGTCCAACCCACCAATCCACGACCTGAGAGTCGCCTTCGCTTCGCAACCCGCGCTTCGACTTAGTCACCAGCCTCGACGATCGCCAGCGCCGGGAGCGGCTGCTGAACGACTCCTCGCCGGGAGACTCGGGGACTCGCTGGAGTGTGGGTGTTTGGGGACGCTCAAACTGGGGGGGGTTGCAAGGGACACCAAGGGGGGTTGCAAGGGACATTTCAGGGGAACTTCTCGTTATGGGGGGTCCCCCCTATTTGACACATACCCAGGGCCATGGTGGATATGGTTAGAGGGACCCGTCTGGGCCTAAGACGTTATATTTTCCGAGGTAGGATCGTTCATAGGATCCACTGCCGCAGAGGAAGGACGCGGAGACTGAGACGACTTCGCTGTCACCGACATCACCGGCCGGAACGAGCCTGCCATACGAGCCCACGGAGATCAATTCGGCTTTGTCTGACGAGGCAATCGGAGTCATCGGAGTCGACCACTGTTGATGATGAGAAGGAGCATATTTGAGGTTCTTAAACTGGGTGCAAACTCAATCTCTTCCATCCTTATGCCAAGTGGTTGGTTCTTCCTTTGTCGCGTTCCACTAGAAGGTGCGGATTGGGATTTGGGATCCCCGCTCATCAAGAATAATTATGTGGATTGCTATGGCAAAGCCATGAAGCTGGCCATAGACTATCGCAAAGTCCAACCACCACAGACAAAGTTGAGTTGACGTTCCTCTTCCTCGACCGGGGCTTACCTTTTGCGCAGTTTCTTAGGGAAGTAAAGGCGCCCCATTTAGAGCAGCTTGATTACCTTCTAGGGAGGGTTCCTTTGTGTTTCCTGAATGTGGATCAACAGATAGACCATGTTGCAGATGGTGTTGGAAAAGAAACCATAATAAGGGATCGCAAGGTAATTTTGATGTGTACGTTATCCTAATTGAAACACCCTTTGGGGGAAGCAAACCTCGGCATCCCAAGACAAGATTCATGAGAATGCACCCGTTTAAAGTCGAAGATCTTGCAACTGACTTTCTTGCTGACACTAAGTAGTACATTTTGAGGCCACGAGGCTGGAAGTGTGGCGGTCTCCAACCCAAGGGCGCCTCTACGATGGCTTCCCTGAAAGTTTGCAAGGAAGGACCCAGAGAAGCCCAGTATTGTCCTGGCTCGTGTGTTTACTTGCAAGTAAATCCATGGGAGAGTATTCTAGAATCATGCACAGAGTGGCTGGGGCCCTGGCAGCTTTTAGAGGTTCAGGTCGACGTGCCCTCTTGCTGTTTACTTGTTCCAGGCAACGAGCTCAACGAGTATCTGGATTTCAGGCAGGCAAAGAAGACAACTCGAGAATTGCCCTGGCAACACCCCGTTGAAGCGTTTACCCTGTTGGGCCACGAAACTGGTACTAGTAGCATCTTGCTTGCCGGAAATAATAGCATGTCAACCGTCTAATTTAATCTTTGCAAACATGCGTATGAAGTCAGCCGACCCCCCGCCCCCCGCTGTTCATGTGGTGTCTTGTCCATGGCTCGCCTTCTGCCATACACGTTAAACAATACCCACGCGCTAGGTGCTCAACGCACGGACGAGACACACATGCATTGTCTTGAGACTGAACTATGAATAGCAGGCAAAGACTGCAACGAGCTTCCAGACCTTTGTCATGTTGCCCCTCTGGTGACTGGCAACTTGGCTGGTCCAAGC